TGGTGAAAACGACCCAAATGAAGAAGAAGAGAGGAAGTAACAACTTTATTCAGATGATGCTATATAAGAACTAGGGGTGGAGGCACAAATAACGTGTTTTTTCCGAATACTTATTTCGAACAAATACTTTAAAAAATATTTGTATTCGGGAACAAAAAAACGTTATATCAACAAGCTGAGTTTCCTTATGAGACCCAGTGCATGAGTGAGTGACTCCGGCTGCTCCACACAGCAACAGAGAGGCTCGGCTGAGTGAAAAAAGATTGAAGATCGGGAGATTATTCAATTACGCTGCATTACTGACGCCTGCAGTTACGTAGCTCTGTCAGCTCAGTAATTTAGACAACAGACTGTTGACAGAGTAACGTTAACGTTCGGTTTAAAGGTTAAAACAATGCTTGTGTAGTTGTGTCGAATTGTGGGAGTTATATGGTACGTTTAAGTTACTCTGTGTTTTGCAGACAGGAAGATGTAGACTATAGGCCACTTAACCTTAGCATAGCTTCCCTTCACTCATTAACTTCACTGTAAAAACAAATCCTAATATAAAAGTATTTTACAGTTTTGTACTGTTCTTCTAGAATATCATTCAATTCACATCAATAGACTGATTTTACATTTCAAATGTAAATTAACGTAAAATCACTGTAATGTAATAAAACATAATTTTCTTGTATTTTTAAATGTATTTGTCTGTACATATGCATACTTAGATTGTTAAAATACTTTCACAAATGTATCATAATTTCACAAATATTTGTCTGTTATTTGAAAGATTGAACTGTTAAATTCAAATGTAATGATATGGAAAACTATATAAAATTATTCTTATAAACTTTTTTTTACATCAAATAATAATAATTATTATTATTATTGTTATTTAGGGCAATCGTGGCTCAAGAGTTGGCAGTTCGTCTTGTAATCAGAAGGTTGCCGGTTCGAGCCCCGGCTCCAACACTCTCGGTCGTTGTGTCCTTGAGCAAGACGCTTCACCTGCCACCTACTGGTGATGGCCAGAGGAGAATTATAAAGTGGAATTGTAAAACGCTTTGAGGGTCTCAAAGCGCTACGTGAATGCAATCCATCCATTCGCTTCCGCTTATCCTTTTCAGGGTCGCGGGGGGCGCTGGAGCCTATCCCAGCTGTCATAGGGCGAGAGGCGGGTACACCCTGGACAGGTCGCCAGTCTGTCGCAAGGCTAACACACAGGGACAGACAACCATTCGCACTCACATTCACTTCCACATTCACAGCTAGTGGCAATTTGGATTATCCAATTAACCTATCCCCACAAGCTGCATGTCTTTGGACGGTGGGAGGAAGCCGGAGTACCCGGAGGGAACCCACGCAAACACGGGGAGAACATGCAAACTCCACACAGAAAGACCCCGGCCTGATGGTGGAACTGAACTCAGGACCTTCTTGCTGTGCGGCAACAGTGCTAACCACCGTGCTGCCATTGAATGCAATCCATTATTATTTAAACCAACTGTTAACTGTATATTTCTGTACATTTAAGTATTATTATTCATACTGGCGCATTCATTGACCTTGTTTATAGGTAATTTCATTGTTCAATCACATTAAAATGTTCCTAATTTAATGTTTAAAAGCACTGGAAAAAGTTAAAATCCCATGTAAAAGTAGGGCAACAAACTGTATTGTCATTACCAAAAATAACCGTATTTTCATGGGAAAGTTATTCTCTGATATTTTCTGGTATTATTTTGGCGCCCCAGCTGCCCGAATATTACTGGGGGGTTTTGGATTTTTTTTTTTTAACGGTGTTGGCTGAAACTGCTCACATGGATTTGGGCAATCAAATAGAAAAGAGTGCTGCTGCTGCTGAGCCACCTCTTGGTCCTCCACCAGCCAAAAAAACTCAAGTTCTGTGTGGAAGCTTTTTACAGTCAGTGCTGCAGATGAAACCAAAGTGATATGTAATGTGTGCAAAAGTCAAATCAGCAGAGGCAGAGATAACAAACATCTGTCAACATCTGGTACGCATAATCACATGCACCTGAAGCATCCTGGTACACCCCCCCCCCCCCCCCCCCCCTCACACACAAAAAACAAACAAAAAAACAAGCAAACATGAAACACGTAAAAATTCCACTATCTTGTTGTTTCTTAGGTTCCTTATTTAATGGCAGCAGGTCCACAGCTGAATGACGTAATGGAGACCGCAGCGCCTAGTAAGTAACCAGTATATGTGCACAAACTTATTCAGGGATGTTGTGTGAAGGAGAAATTAAAAACAAAACGCAATAAGTGGCAAATCTCACGAAGGCTTATTTTTATTTACAATTAAAAATAAAAACCACATCGAGTGTTTAAAGTGAGAGAATTTACTTTTTTAACATAAATATTACCTGGAAAAATATCCAACTACAGTCTTTAAACCTTCCCTTTCACTCTTGCTCACAAATCCCTCGACACTCTCCACCCACTCCACCCTTCCTTCTTCACCTGCCCTTCACTACCTGCTGTTTCAGACAGTCACAGATTTCTTCTTCTTCACTGTGATTTAATTGTTTGTTGGCAAGTTACATACAGTGATGCTCTATCAGTAACTAAAACCATGTATGATTACACTGTCAGCCGGATTTATGGCTGTAGTTATTCAGCTGATGATGAGTCACTGCATGTTTCTGTTTTTTGATCATTCTCAGAATGAAACTTCAAAAAATGCATTTTGGTTAAAGTTCAAGGCTCATTTCTCCAGATAGGATACAAGTCCCAGCATGAGACTTACATCCCAGAGTTTCAATAACTCTGATATTTACTGTCTGTGCTGGCAGTTTGTCCCATTAGTTGTTTGGAGGTTATTGAAACCCTGCTGTGCTTAACTCTTGTTACGACTCAATGAACAGATACAGCACAGACTGTGGATTAGGAGAGTTTCAGGTAAATGATCTGTGCCACAGAGCAAAGAAGGGAGAATTGGTGCAGGGCAGAAACTCAGTTTCTTTCATCTGTAAATGTACATCACTATATTATTTTGTGATATTTATGTTGTGGTATTTTATTTTGTGTCCTGATTTTTTTTTTGTCAGTGTCTGAACTTAGGGTGGTTCTCCTGTGGAATAACTGGCGTGAGAGGAGAGTGGTGGAGAGCTTCATACTGGGAGTAACTGGGTTAAAAGCTGAAAGAGCAGACTGCTGTTTTCGAGTCAGAGAAAAGCAGGGAGAGAATGAAATTCTTCTCATCAACAGCCCAGACATGATGTCTTCCAACATCTCTGAACAAAAACTAAGAGAACATGTAGAAACCTGTGTGAGGCTCTCTGATCCTGGACCTCATGTGTTCCTGCTGGTTCTGCAGCCTGAAGACTTCACTGAGAACCACAGAAAGAGACTTTGCAGAGTCCTCCAGCTGTTCAGCGAGCAGTCATTTGAGCATTCACTAATTCTGATGTTAACACCCAAAGGAGAAGAGAAATTAGATTACATGGAAAGTTATGAGAACCATCCACCCTTAAAGGACATGATGGAAAAATGTGCAGGCAGGTTTCTGTGGCAGAAGAACCTCGAGCGCTCACAGCTGTTAACACGCATGTTTCAAATAGTCAAAGAGAACAATGGAGAGTATGTGAGCTGTGATCTATATGTGGATGCTTCACCGAATGTTCACTGGAGTCTAAAAAACACTGAAACACGAACTGTTGTGTCAGATCCTGGTAAGAGGGACGTGTGAAATAAATATAAACATTACTGCTGTCAGCGTTAATCTCACTAAAATGACGTTAACGCCATAACTGCATTAATGCGGCAAATCTTTGTTAGCGAGTTAACGCCCTGTGGGAGGGCTGCACAGTGTTAATGCGTTAGCACAGTTAGTAGCCGCGCAAATGTGGTTATGCCATTAACGTCATTTTAACAAGATGACAGCTGACAGCACTAATAAATAAACATCATTATGTTTGATTATTGGATGACATTAATTTATTGCTTGATTGATTTGTGTCTGTGTGTCATCTTAGGACGGAGCTCTAACACTGAAGGTAAAAGGAAACTTTTGCCCAGAGGTACGTGAGAACTTCAAGATTTATTTATTGTCATTTTGTTGCTAGATCATAACAAAAATTACAGTGGTGCTGTCAAAAATATATAAAATACAAAAATTATAAATAAATAAATGAAATTTTTATTAGAAAGATATAAAAAATAGATGCAGAAATTTTTAGCAGTCTGCAGGGGAGCAGAGGGAAGGGCAGGTTGATGGCTTTCACAGCTCTTGGGAGAAAGCTTTCCTCAGCTGGGTGGTGTTTATGTAGAGAGACACTGACACTTCCTTTGCAGTCTGCCAGAGTTAGTAATTATACTGAATTGAGGTTTGTTAGCTGTCGTCCGCCAATCCGCTGGGCAGTTTTCACCAGCCGGTCCAAGTCTTCTGTCCTGGACTGTGCAGTGGCCGTACCACACCATCATGCTGTGGCAGAAGATGCTCTCCATCACATGTTCTGGAGCAACTGAAGGGAGAGTCCACTCTCTTCAGTTTCCTGAGGAAGAAGGTTCTTTGTTGGGCCTTCGTCATCAGAACGAAGGTGTTCAGTGACCAAGTCAGAGCCAAGGTGATGTGGAGGCCTGGGAATTTGATGCAATCCACACACTCCACCGACCTTATACAGATCAAGTAGACGGGTGTTGGACCTCTAAAGCTTTTTTTTGTCAGCTCAGAGCAACGTTTTGCAGTATTTTGGTAATTTTTTAAAATATGTTTGCTGCTATTGTGTTTTTATTAGTGCAGTCACAGTTTAGGAAAATCCCTTTTGACTGATGACAGAAAACTATGAATGTGAGAAGTGAAATGGAAAAAAGCAGAAGTGAAAAACATTTGGTTTCTCTGCTGTTAAATCCGTTATACAAAAGTACATCATAGGTTTATCAAGTTTCTGGGATGAGACTCACTGGATTTGAAATCTTTCTGAAGCCACCTGACAATCCTCCAAAAAATGTTTTCCCAATATCAATAAAACAATATTCACATTTTCTTACAGCCTCTGCTCTCAGGATTGTGCTGTTGGGAGAAAAAGAGGATTTGAAGAGGACACTGAGCAGCTTCATCACAGGAAAAGTTCAGAAACCTCCACGAGCTGATCACTGTGTGGCCATCTCTGGAGTGTGGGAGGGAAACAGTTTAACAGTCATTCAAACTCCAAACATCTTCAGTCTGTCTGAGGAGACGGTGAGAGAGGAGATGAAGACCTGTGTGAGTCTTTGTCCTCCTGGACCACATGTTCTGCTGCTGATAGTGGAGCCTTCAGTCACTGAGGAGAAGAAACGAAGGCTGAACTTCATCCTGGGTTTGTTTGGTGAAGATGCCTTTAAACACGCAATGCTCATCACTGCACAGGAGGGGGTGAAGGCAAACTTCACTGTAAATCAGCTGCTTAAGAAGTGTGAAGGAAAACACTATGGCATGTATAAAAATGACCTCAAGCTCTTAATGAATAAGATTGAGGCTATCATGCATGAAAATAGAAGGAATTTCCTCAGATTAACTGAAAAGACCACAGAACCAAAGTCTGAAGCCGTCAAGCAGACTTTAAACCTGGTTCTGTGTGGGAGGAGAGGAGCAGGGAAGACGTCAGCAGCCAAGGCCATTTTAGGTCAGACTGAGCTTCATTCAGCCTCCAACTCATCAGAGTGTGTTAAACATCAGGGAGAGGTGTGTGGACGTTGGGTTTCCCTGGTGGAGCTGCCTGCCTTGTATGGAAAACCTCAGGAGGCAGTGATGGAGGAATCACTCAGGTGTATCTCCCTCTGTGATCCTGAGGGTGTCCATGCCTTCATCCTGGTCCTACCTGTGGCTCCCCTCACTGATGAAGACAAGGGAGAGTTAGAGACCATCCAGAACACATTCAGCTCTCGAGTCAATGACTTCACCATGATTCTGTTCACTGTGGACTCAGATCCTACAGATCCAGCTGTTGGTAACTTTGTAAAGCAAAACAAGAACATCCAGGAGCTCTGTGAGAGCTGTGGAGGAAGATCAGTTGTTCTCAACATGAAGGACAAACAGCAGATCACTCAGATTTTTCATCATGTGGATCAAATGAGACACACCGTGGCCAGATCATACTGCTATACAACAGAGACATTTGCACATGCTCAAATAGAAAAAATCAGAGAGCAAGCGAAATGTATCAACATGCAACAAGCTGAACTTCTGACACTGAAAAAAAACAACAACTGTAAGTATAAATGGAGAATCAAAGATTGACACTATACTCATTCATGTCAGCAGTAATAGATTAGAGCATGTAAAACCCATCCATTTTCTTCCGCTTATACGTGTCTGGGTCATAGAGGCAGCAGCCTAAGCAGAGAAACCCTCCCTCTCCCCGGCCACCTCTTCTAGCTTATTCAGGGGAGCACCAAGGCATTCCCAGGCAAGCTGAGAGATACAATCTCTCCAGCATGTCCTGCCCACAGGCCTCCTGCTGCAGGGAGATGCCCAGAACACCTCACCCAGGAGACATCCTTGTCAGATGCCCGAACCACCTCAAGTCAACTTTAGATGTGGAGTAGATGCTCTACTCTGATCCCCTCCTGAATAGCCAAACTCCTCACCTTATCACTAAAGGAGAGGCCAGCGAATCATTGGAGAAAGCTCATTTCCACCACTTCTATCCTCATTCTATTACATAACTAATTACAAAACTGTGGATGAACACATAAGGACTTATGTAGTAAACAAAAATGTGTGAAATAACTCAAAACATGTTTTATATGTTAGATCCTTACAAACACGCTTTGATTACTGCTTTGCACACTCTTGGCGTTCTCTCGATGAGCTTCATGAGGTCGTCACCTGAAATGGTTTCCAACAGTCTTTAAGGAGTTCACAGAGATGCTGAGCATTTGTTGGTCCTTTTGCCTTCACTCTGCGGTCCATCTCATCCCAAACCATCTCCACTGGCTTTAGGTCAGGTGACTGTGGAGGCCATCAGCACTCCATCTCTCTCCTTCTTAGTCAAACAGCCCAGACACAGCCTGGAGGTGTGTTTGGGTTCATTTTCCTGTTGAAAAACACATGATGGGATGGCATGTCGCAGCAGGATGCTGTGGTAGCCATGCTGGTTCAGTGTGCCTTCAGTTTTGAATAAATCCTCAACAGTGTCACCAGCAAAGCCCAAACAAATCTCTTCTGCTTGTTGCTTTTCCTTAGTCGTGGTTTCTTAGCAGCTATTTGACCATAAAGGCCTGATTCACACAGTCTGAACAGTTTATGAAGAGGAGGTCTTCCTTTCCTGGGGCAGTCCTCATGTGAACCAGTTTCCTCATAGCGCTTAATGGTTTTTTCGACTGCACTTGGGGGACACATTCAAAGTTTTAGCAGATTTCCAGACTGACTCTCCTTCAGTTCTTAAAATAATGATGCACTATTGTTTCTTTTTACTTTGATCTTTGGGTCTTGCCATAACATGAATTCTAACAGTTGTCAAATAGAACTGTCAGCTGTGCACCAACCTCATTTTTCCACTACACAACTGACGGTCCCAACCACATTTAGGCAAGAAATCCCACAAATGAACCCTGACAGGCACACCTGTGAGGTGAAACCATTTCAGGTGACGACATCATGAAGCTCACTGAGAGAAGGCCGAGGGTTTGCAGTGCTGCCAACAAAGCAAAGAGAAGCTACTTTCAGGAATTTGAAATATAAAACATGTTTAGTGTTATGTATCATTTTTTTCTTTGCTACACAATTCCCAATCTCTTCCTTAATATATTTGATGTCTTTAGTATGTGTCTATAATGTCCAAAGTAGTAAAAATAAAGATAAACATTAAAGCAGTGGGTGTACAAACTTTTGACTAGTGTAGGTGGAGCATTACAGAGACCACATGACATTCTTTCAAACTCAAATAACCCAATGGGGGCAGTAAATGCAGTCTTCTCCCTTTCGCTTGGGTTCATCTCGATCTACCAGTGGCCACTGGCTAGGTCAAAAGTGGAAAACCACTTAGCTCGGGTTAGTTTGGTCAGTGTCTCTCTTATTTGGGGTAAAGGGAAAGCATCCTTGTGCGGCACAGGATTTAGTTTCCTCCATCCTCCTTCCTTCCATCCTTTTTTCTCCCCAAGACAAAATGTGGCCCATAGACCACAACTATCTCACATAACTGCCTTACACACAGACCTGGTAGGAGGCAGGGGTTAACACCTCTCCCTAACACCAGCTCCCCTGCTGGGACTCAGACAGATCAAGTCTTTTAGTCATTTTGCACATCTCTGCTGACGATTCCTTGTTTTCTGAGGTGGCGACATTGTCCATGACTCTGCCTGCTTAAAGGGAAAAACTCAGGTCACCAGGGCCATGCACATTTGACTCATTCACACAGTATATCTTACCCAGCTTCTGGTAGACCTATGGATTATAGGAGTGTAGGTTATAGGCTGGCACTGGGACTCTACCATTCTTTAACACTCTCAGGGCTCTGGCCACCCAAATCCTTTTATCTGTGACTAAACATCCTCTAATATCTCCAGTTTAGCACCTCTCTCCAGGTTGCTTCCTGCTCAGATTTAATGGGCCCACATACATTATTACACATATGTCAATTTACCTCAGATTGGGCATGTCCATGCTCTGAATCCAGCAGCAGCTTCTCCTGGCATATGGCAGCAAAATCTCCTTGGGTTCTTGCATACCTTCAAGGCCAGAGCTGTAGTCCCAACAGCAACTGATCTCACAGGGCAGCATAAGAAGGGGCATTATCTGGGGCATGTCTCTGCAACCTGCACTATAGCTCCATCAGTAGCAAAATAAACGAAGGCAGTGTCTCTGAAGCAGTGTAAGTACCCAAATCTAACAGTGTCTGTTAATTAACCCATTTATGATTTGAATACAGAGAAACAAAAGGGAAGACAGAGAAGGGGACAAAACAAGAAAAGAGAGCTATAGAAAAAAGATACTGGTGGGAAATTATCAGATTGCTGATGATGTTGTTTCCAGAATGTCAATAAACCTAACTGGACTCTTCAGTAGGACTCAAAACAGACACATTTAAAGTTCACAAGGTTTATTAAATGAAGCCACACAGTAACTGGAGGTGAACTTAGCCATGTGAAATCCTGGGGCCATGGTCACTGAGAGAGAGGACAGGCAAGCTAGCTTTGAGGAGTCCACAGAAAAGAGATCCACTGAATTGATCCAGAGAGCTGGTTCAGAAGAGGTATTGAAAGGAAGCCACTGGTCTGTTTTCCCCTGGTGAGTTGTGTCATAGGGTAAACATGAACACTTTCACGTGTGGGGAATTATTCTTAGAATGAAGACACAACTGCTTAAGACTGAATTTTTCATTTTGTGTTGGAACTGAAATCAACCAGTTGTGTGAATCATTTGGAAGTTTGTTGCTTCTGTAGCTGCAGATGACCATTCGATTCCACTGGTAAGGTCGGACTTTAAGGCTCTGAACTTTTTCAGAGCAACAATCAGGAAATAGCCTCAAAACCTTCACAAGGCTCCATCTGCCCATCTCTAACTTAATAACTCAAGTGGGATTAATAAGTAGCACTGGAAATGAAGCTGCTCTTTGGTCAGACAGAGAGTCCTGGAGGAAAACCACAGGAGAAACAAGGAGATGCCAGATTACCAGTCTAGAGAGCCAGATTGGCATAGAGTGATCATTGGAGTTGGTTGTTAAGTACTGACAGAAGATGAAGACAATCAGGAACAGACGTGGCCGCCTCCTGGCAGATTTTAACCTGCTTAGCTCAGCTTAGACAGAAAGGAGAACCCAAAACAGCAAACAGCGTGCTGGACCATGAAAATAAAGTCTTTGGATGTGGCAACCTGTTTGAAGTGGAGATTAAAAGGTGGAAAGATGCATGGCCTTAAAAATTCAGTAAAAGCTTGAAATGAATATAAAGACAGTGTACTAGGTGCTAACTGACTGGGAGACAAAAATGCAAAAACAGTGAAAGCAAGATTTTGAATTAGATGAATTTGAAAGTGTAATTGAAAAATGGGGACTAAATGTAACAGAATTCAATTATAAGATCATAAGATTTTCTTTGACATGGACAGACACAACGTTTATCTGTAGCAGATTTAGGTCGTAAAATAACAGCTTTTGTTTTCTTTTACATTCCTCGTGTCCCCTGAGATCCTCCTACATCTTTCTAGCCATTACTCAATAATCTTGTTTAATGTTTGATTTGTTGTTGTTTGTTCTTTTAATAATTACATTAAGAGCAACCTTAAGTGTGGATTGTGTAAACTGCTTGTGGATTTCTCCTTCTTTGTATTTTCCTGTGTTCCTTCTTTATTTTTCTGGTGCTGCTGATGGAATTGAATAAAAAATTAGATGAAAGCAGCGTGGAGCTCCCATTAAGCCCTTGCACTGATTTTTAGATTCAACTTTAGACACAAAGACAAAAAGTAATGACATCTAAAATATATTGTGCTTTCAGCAACACATTATCTATTGGACTGTCCTGCCATTTAACTAATGTGTTGTTATTTCACAGGTAATGAAGAGAAGCAGAGCTCAGAGCCTCTCAGAATTGTCTTGCTAGGTAAGACTGGCAGTGGAAAGAGCTCTTCTGGAAACACCATTCTAGAACAAAAAACGTTCAAAGCTGAGAATAACCCCAGATCTGTCACCAAACATTGTCAGAAAGAAAACGGTGAAGTGGACGGTCGTCCTGTTGTTGTGGTCGACACTCCTGGACTGTTTGATAACAGTTTGTCACATGAAGAGATCAATGAGGAGATGCTGAAATGTGTCAGCCTTCTGGCTCCAGGACCACACGTCTTCCTGCTGGTGTTAAAGACTGAGAGAATCACACCAGAACAGAAGGAAGCATTAAAACTTATCAAGGAAGGCTTTGGGAAGAATTCAGAAAAATTCACCATCATTCTTTTCACAAGAGGAGATTCACTGGAACATGAGGGGAAGTCCATTCATGATTACATTGCAAAATCTGAGGATTCCTTTAAGAAGCTGATTGATGATTGTGGGCAGAGATACCAGGTGTTTAATAACTTAGATGAACAAAACCAGAAACAAGTCACTGAGCTGATAACAAAGATCGATGACATGGTCAAAAGAAATGGTGGAAGTTGCTTCACCAATAAGATGCTGCAAGAAGCTGAAGCTGCAATCCAGAAAAAAACAGAGATGATTCTGAAAGAGAAGGAGGAAGAAATAAAAAGAGAGATGGAAGACCTTAAAAGACAACATGAGGAGGAAATGCAAGAAATGAAGAACAAAATGGAAGAACAGAAAACAGAAATTGAACAAGAAAGAAAACAAAGAGACAAAGAGCTTAAAAAAGTGAAGAAACAGCTTACCATAAGAAAGAGAGAACAAGAATCAAGAGATGAAGAAGACAGAGAGAAGAAAGAAGAGGAAGAATCACAGCGTAGGGATTGGGAACAAAGGTTTTTAGATTTAGAAGTAAAAATGAAAGAAGAACTGGAATCAAAACAAATCATTGACAGACAACTGGAGCAGAGCAAAGCAGAAATGAAAGAGAAACAGCAGGCATGGGAGAATGAACAAAAAGAGTGGTGGCAGAAAAGAGAGCAGGAAAATGAAGTGAGGCAACAGGAGGAGCAGAAAATGATGAACAAATTGAAAGAATATGAGCAGGAAAAAGAAGTTCTTGAGATAGAAGTAAAAGAAAAGGATTTGATGTTAACAGAAAAAGGGGAGAAAGAGAAAAGGGAACTGGAGGAAAACTATGAGAAAAAACTGATGGAAATGAAGGAAACATTTGAAGAAAAAGCCAGAAAACAAGCAGAGGAATACAACGAATTCAGGGAGAAATGCATGAAAGAGTTAGAGGGTAAGGACTGGACAGCCGAAGATGAGCAATATGACATCTTAAAAGCACTAAAAGCTGAGAAAGAAGAACAAATGAAAAAACACAAAGAAGAGATGAATAACTTAGTGAGATGTTTCACCAAAAAGAGGGCAAACACAAAAAGAGTCCGCAAGCTACTGAAAAAGCATGAACAGGAAATGAAGCATGTGGACGATCCAGAGGAAAAGGAGGACCTTGAGGAAAAACATGACAAAGAAATAAATGAACTGATACAAGAACTTATAAACAAAAGCAATGATGATTGTCATATTTTTTAGTCTATTGTAAAAGCAAGGCCAGACTTACCTGTGTCCAACGCTTCTGCTCACACTGAAAGTCAACAAACACTGGATAGATTTTCATGAAATTTGGCTGAAACATTTTGGGAATCAATCACAGCTCCAGTACAGATTAATTTATAAGTTCATGTAAACATAAAAATACAGAAATTCAGGATGGCGAAATTGTGTATGGGATTTAATGATCGGCTCAGCTCTGCTCGAGCAGATAAAAACACAATGTAATTTCTTAATGTTTCTTAATTTCTCAAAGACGTATTGATGGCTATGTTTTTATGGTGTAACACATTGTCAGGGGTCTCAATAACTGTATACTTCTTCATTGGTTCATTTGGTTTATATACACTACGGGTCAAAGGATTTAGAACACCCCAATTTTTCATATTGAAAATTGTGCAGTTTAATATCTCATTGCACTCTGAAATGAAAGCACAGTACAAATAAGCAATTGGAGGTGTTACAGCAATTCCTGTAAATGTAGCACTTGTAGGTTGCTTTGCTTTTACTCTTCTGTCCAGTTCATCCCAACCCTGCTCGATGGGGTTTACGTCTGGTGACTGTGGAGGCCAAGCCGTGTTTACCATCTTGTTCTTTTTTCCTGAGGTAGTTCTGGCATAGCTTGGACTTATGTTTTTTGGTCATTATCTTGCTGTAGGATGAACCTCTGATCAACTAAGTGTTTACCAGAGGGTTTTGTGGACGATCTGATATCCTCGTGTTGGTGTTGTTCCCTCATCAACATAATAAATGTTGTTCCAGGTTCAACATTGCAAGTGACCAATCACCTTCTCCTGACGTCATCCGCGACCTCGAACAAAACAAACGCCTTCAAAAGATCTACTTCACTTGTGAGAAGAGAAACCGCCTCTGCAAGGACAATATGTATAATGTTTACCGTTTATTAAAGAAAAGTATCCTGAAATGCAAAGAATTCAAGTTCCTGGATCGGCGGACAGAGGCGTTTCTCTTCTTGCAAGTGAAGTAGATTTTTTTAAGGCGGTATTTTTCAAAGGGACAAAAGGAGGACTCACAACAATGTGATTGGTCACTTGCAATGTTGAACCTGGAACAACATTTATTATGATGATGTGGGAACGTTGTATAAAAAAATTCAACGAAATATTCAAGTACATCCCTCCACAGCTTCTGATGAATTCTTAAAAACAAGAAACTGTTTGTCAAAAACTAGTGATGGCTTGAAGCTGACGCTCCGGTGCGTGTGTCAAATAAATCGACACACTGCTTCAGAAGCTCTGTGTCGAAGCTTGATTCGTTTGGCCAGAGTCACGTGATCAGTGACGTCCGAAGCTTCATTTAGAGCCTAAATGCTTCGGTGTCTGATTCAATGGTTTATAAGGAAATGAATCATTCGTGGGATTTGTGGAGTGTTTTGATGGTGACAGCGAACCACTGATCATTCCACTGAGAGATTTGGAGCCAGCGAGGAATAGAGGAGGTTCTGTTGTGTGGGAGGATTTTGAGTTGATTTTGCTCAGTCGGGTGGGTTTTCCAGCTTTGTGTTCTTGTTGTTTGCTTTTGTTTTGTGCGTGTTTATTTTATCTTATAATGGGAAAAACTTAAAATGTCAAAAAAAAATCTGCTTCCATAATATAAATATCATTAAATAACTTTAGAAAAACTTCCACTTGACTCTTTACATGTAATGTTGTAAAAATATATATTTTATTGTTTAATTAATCTGAAAATGTTAGTCTGCCAAATGTGCAGCAATTTAATCTATTTATTCTCTTTAGCTGATAGTTGGTGGGGCCCAGGTAGACTGTATACCTGCATCTCTACCTGTTTCTCTGCATTCCAGCCTCCTCTGTGCCATGTGAAGGGATTTGCCTTAAGGCAGGAGAAATTATCTCCACGAAAAGGAACAGGTTCGGCCATCGCACAGTGGAACAAATTCTCTTCTTCAATAAAAATGAAAAAGGGTTACCTTAAATGCATCATGTTTTTAATTTGCAAGTTCAGAAGCATTTTCCTTTTCACAATCAAGTCTACCCCCAGGTCAAAAATATGTCTGGGAAAATGTCCCTAATATAATATTATTTATAAATACACCCGTCTAGCGATTAATTGCACAAGTGCATGGAGGCAGGACCTCACAGCAGAAGCATACTCCATAATGTGTTGTACATTATTATATGTATTTATTATATGTAACGTGGTATTTTTCAATTATTGTATTTACTAACATCAAGAAGTCACAAGCAAAGAAAGACCACACCATGGTGCATGTTTAAACAAGGAGAGTTTACTGGTCAAAATTATTTATTAAACAAATAAAACACATTTTTTAACCACCAAAAATACACGTTCAAAGCAACACAACGGCGGCCCAATATCAGACAGGATTCCACTCTGTGGGCAGTCATAATGGAGCAGTTGTTTTTATTTTGTGGATTCAAGCTGCTCTTCATATTTGTGGCCACCAGATGTCACCAGAGAGGACTGTGTTGAAAAGCTTCGAGTAATGAACCGTTTTTCTATACAAGCTTCAGAAAGCTTCATCTGCCCATCACTACCGTATGCTCTTCAACTTCCTCTGGAAAAACAGGACACATTACATCAGAGACAGTGTAATGATGAATGATTATGAACACGGTGGTCTCAATGCTTTTGTCATGATCCTGTGTCTGTGACCCAGCACTTTGAGTATATTGTTATTATTTTCTTGTTCATTCTGATTTTGTATTAATTCTTTAGGTTGGGTTCTCGTGTCTTGTGATCCCTACCTGTGTCTTCCCTCTGCTCTGTTTGTGTTCCCGAGTTTGTGTTGTAGAACAGTCTGTGAGTTTCCTGTTGTATTTTGTAGGTTTGTGTCCCGTTATGCCTTCTGGCATCATTGATCACGTGACTCTATCCAGCCGAACCAAGCATCGAGACACTTCTGGAGCAGTGTGTAGTTTTTTTGGATACACGCGCCCGAACTGCAGCTTGAAACAGAGCGTGGAAATGAGCAGGTTGCGTTTTTTTTTCTTTAATTAATCGATTTATTTTACTTCTTCTATAAAATTACAGGAAAGACACACTGACACTGCTCAGGTGAAAACAGCTTTAACCTGGTTAGGGTATGTAGTCGTGCGGAAATAAATAAACTATCCGCAAACTAAAGAAACATGTGAAAAGATAGTTTTACATTTTCAGACAGTTAAAATGGACAAAAATCTCAGTCTGATTCGAGTCGATACTAAAGTGCTTTCACTTTCGCTTTTATAGTCGAATGCACTAAGAACGTACGATTGTAAAATGTTATTTACGTTTCTCACCGTTATACACACATTCATTAAATAACTTATTTCCTTCCTTTTATTTCCAAACTCCTTTTTTAGCAAAGTTTTTGTTTTGTTTTGTTTGTTAGTTTTTGCTGCAGGAAACAATGCATAAGTTGTAGTTTGACAGATCATTTAAAATGTTTGGGTTTTTTTGACATGTCATATTCTTTTACTGAGATGGCCTACAAAGAATCATGGCTATGATAATATTTTGATGTCTGCAACTCTTTGGGATTATATCTGACTGTTTAATAACTATTTCTAACTATTTCTTTATATTCAGCATAACAGACTCGCCTGTCTCATAACTGTGAGACACATTGAAATATGTTGTGATAATTATAGTTACATTTCCCCCACATATAAGCATGGTAATGTTTTCTCATTTAATCTACACAGACTTTGGTAGTGTTGAGGTTTGTCTGTAACAGTTTTTTTATTTTTATTTTGTAAAAACGTACATGTATATTAAGCATATGTATTTTTGCATAAGCAAAAAAAAAAACCTATAAAAAACAAAACTAGTCACAGACTTTATTTCTTTGGACTGCTTTTAGCTTTGATGGCATACATTCATCATGGGATCAAATAGATGAGTTAATACAACGTCACAACATTCATTTTCATCCAGAGTTACATTAACTGTTCCTTAATATCTTGTAATAATGAGGGAGAGTATATTCATTTGACCTCATTTTTGGGGGCATAACGTTAATAAACCTAGACTTGATCAACTGATTCTTCTGCAGGTTTTATTAATGTGTTAGACAGTTCTTAGCCTAGTTTTAGTCATTTCAGCTTCTCCTTGCTCGATGCAGGCTAATACTTTGTTTCAGAAAGGTAAAATTAACATCTGTCCCACAGCCAGTTTTAAACTATCTTCTGACAAAGTTCTCTAAGACCCCCCCCCCCCCCCCCCCCCCCCAACCTCCTGAGTTTTTCATTCCCACTGCCACCGACTGCTTGCTCATAGTGAGTCATATGATCACTGGGTTTTTCTCTATATTAATGAAGGCCTTTATGTTACAGTATAGTGCCTTGAGGCCGCTGCTGTGATAAGGCACTGTATAAATAAAACTGAATGGAACATTTTTCATTTAGTTTATTAACTCTAACTCACATCTAAAACGTATATCTGCTGTTCTTCTTCTTGTGCTGTAAAGTTGGTGTAAAGATGACAACGCTTTTTTAGAAATCCTTCAGATCTGAGACCTCGGGAACACCCAGAGAAGTAAGTGTTTACTTGCGGAGCTTTAACACTCATTCATTATATTCAACTATGGCTTTTAAAGCGCTAAATAGTTTTTTTCTTCCCACCAGCTGAACCACTCAATGATGTTTTCAGCAGAGTCCATTTCGGCAACTTATGAAGCTGGTAAGTGCAGTTCTGCATCCATTATAGCACATTTCCTCATGCATGAACACTTCCACTGAATTATGCAGCTGTAACCAATTCTTCAACTTTATACCTAAGTTATAGCTAAGATTAAATGAGCTAACATTTCCATGCTTACTCCAGCCAGCGGGTGGTGACAGTGTACATTTAGCTGTTTGGTTATGGCTCAAAGTGCTAGAAGAAAAAAACACATACAGGGTGGAATTCGCAATTCACCTGAGCCTACTGCACCACACTCTAACAAATGCGACTAAGCTGGCAGTAGGAGGAATAATCAGCTGGTATCAAGAACCTGGCAGTATCATTAATCACATGTGTCCATTGCAGTGGATATTGATAGATTTTTGCAAAAATATAAAGGTGCTGGATTTGAGTAAAACTTAATTTCATCCAGCGTTCCTGTAGGTCACATAAAAATATACTGCTGTACAAAAGTCTTAAGCATCTACTAGTTTCTTTATATTTTGCTAAGAAAATTGGAAATAAGTGCAGCAATTTTTCAATTGTGCAATTATAGATTTTTATTTAAGTATGTAAGGCAGAAAGCAAGTTTGTATAAATCTAATGAGCCTGAAACTTCTGAAGCAGCTTTCTGTAATGTCTTTAAGTAATCTTCAGGAATATTTCTCCAGGCTTCCTGACAGACATTCAAAGCTCTTCTTTGGATTTTTCTTTCTTTTGTTCTGTTTTCTGTCAAGATGATCCCACACTGCTTCAGTAACGCTGAAAAATGAAGCTATTAATTGTCAGTTTTCCAGATGATATCGCATGATAGATCAAAATCTGATGGTATATTTATAATTTCAATAAATTCTGACAAGATCCCCAACACCACTGGATGAAATACAGCCTCAAATCATAATAGAGCCTCCACTGTGTTTTACAAATGGCTGAAGACTCCCTGCTGAACTTGTTTCCTGACCTCCTCTGCACATACTGATGATAATTTGATCCAAAATGTTGAATTTTGCAAGCCAGCAGTAGAGTGACAGCGTCTAGGTACCAGATTGAAATTCTCGGCACATCTGCAAGCCTTATAAATATATATCACCTTATAAAAAAGGGTTTGATTAGCTTGTGATTTCAGTTTATAACTTAATTTTGGTGTGATTTTATTCTCAGGAAATTGCATGGTGTTAATTGATAAAGATTTTTAACTTTTACATTTTATTCATTCAGAGCTAATATAAATGTTTCGGGGGGGTTTTAAACATTTTACATACATGAATTAACAGAATTCGTACGGGTGCTTAAACTCCTTGAAAATGTTTGGATTTTAATATTGTCTTTTCAAGGTTTGAAAAGTGCTTGAATTTTAGATGTGGTTCTTCAAACTGCTTGAAGCTGTAACTGTATTTCATTCACCACAAATAACTATCTGATTGCAGCACATCAGATAGAAAAATAAAATGAGTCGCAAAGTCTGAAAGCAAAATTTCTCCTCCTGGGCTGCCTTGCACCACTGCATGGCAGCGCTAGTACAGCAGTTAGTTATGGCATGATAATGTGAGTTATTTCCCTCAAGTGAAAGTTATAAACATTAGCCCGATACATAACTAGCCAACTTAAGGTTTTCTGATTAAAGGGTAAAAGTGAAGTTGTCAGTAGTAAGTAAATAGAATACTGTTTATATTTATGTGCATTGCTGCAGCTTTTTCATTAACTTGGTGCTTTTATGACACCTTAGGGAGGAAATGATGGTAATATAACGGACCGATCCATATGGGCACAAAGAATAGTCCCTTTTTTGTGCTACCAAAGTTCCCTGACTTTCATTCAAAACTGTTTATCGTGAGCACCTGCACATTAAACAACTTAAACATTATAATGGCTTCAAGCTCACATTGAGGCCTGTGGGGCTCTATCAGCCCCTGAGACTCTAATAGACAAATTTCATATATGAATATTTCATACTTTAAGGCTGCCTGTTTATTTAACAGAGATGAACAATAAATTATAATTGTACACAATAATATCACATGATACATTAAATAAATAGATATTAGGTAGATGCTTGTGCATTCTTAAAGTCTGTTCTCCATGTCTGTCTTACTGCACTGATGTTATTAGCACAAACATTTTAAAGGTCATAATTTAGGACTTCAACAATAATATAGACAGCAACAGTGGCAGTCCTAGCCTGTTTGGCGCCCTGATGACTTTGAACTTTTCTTGTCCATCTTCCATTGGTTTTAATTTTGCACTCCAGTATGAACACAAATCCCCCAACGAGGATCACCACAACATGTTCTAACAGACCTACACCTTAGTTCACAGATTCACTTTGTCTAAGGTTTATTTCTGGGATTTCGCACAACCCAGGATTCCAATCATGAGTAGATAATGGGCTTGTATTTACAACATTATGAATGAAATGTGCTCCACTTGGAAGCAGCCGGCCCCCTTTCGACAGCTTGTGTGTGAGACTTTAAATCATCAAACTGTAAATTATAAATTGTTATTGATCCTTTACCCCGAGTCCTAAAGTGTAGATTTATTTTCTTACTCTTCTTATATTTATTGTTTGTTTACTTGCACTGCTGTAACTCGTCGTCTCGTCTCTATATATACTGGACTGTATGTAGCAGAGATGACAATAAAGTTTACTTTGACTTCAGCAGCGAGCACGCACACTGAGGGCTCTCGCGCTCACTTTTCGCTTATAGAATTTCGAAAAAACATCGGTGCAGATTAAAAGTCTGTATTATAATGTCTGCTGTTTTCGTGTTTGTTGGTTTGTTTTTATTTTGTTTTATTTTGCGAGCTCCAGCCGACCAGAGAATTCCCGCCCTCTCCTCCCTGTGCAACTAGCAGCAGGCGCACCTTGCAAACGGAGGGCGCCCTTACTCCCAGCAAATGGGCGATAGAAAGCCGATCGGTGCCTGTGACATTCCCAATATGCGCTGGCTGATGTCGGGGCAGCATGGGTACGAGCAATTTTTTATTTATTTTTTTTGCTGATGCCCGTGTTGCCGCCCCCCACCCCGGGCAACGCCCCTATCAAAAACCGCTACTGGACAGCAAGTAAACATCTTACAGTTACTTTTATTGAGAATTAACTTTAAAGAAACAAAAATCAGTTTCCTATTTTTTGTGTCAAATAGGAAAGAAGCATCAATATCTGATGAGAAGTGGTGTTGTATTTTTTGTATTTTTTCAAGAGGAGATGAATATCTCTAACAAGTTGATTTTTTTTCTCATTTGCTCATCTTAATGTTTAAGTGAAATGTGCTTTTTGAGTTTAAACACTATATGCACATAAGGCAACCTTTTCCTTTTGCAGTATTTTTGTGTGGTGTGTTTTTCTATGTTTTAACATTTTCACATTGTCTTACTGAGGTGATGCAAAGTGAAACATGCATATTTTTTTTGGTATTGTGCTGGAAAAGCTTGAAAATGGACCTTGAAAGTATTTAAAAAGTGCTTGAATTTGACCCTGAAAAAGGTGTATGAACCTTAAGTTGTTTTAAAAATATTCCAGTGCCATATGGGAAAGGAAGTTGACCTCCCAAAGAATGCATAAGAGTGACATTTATGTATACTTACAGGTCAACCTCTGAAGCGCAGCAGCAGCTATGGAGTTCTGCCACCTGATAGTAAGTCAAAGTAAACAAGATCAGAGTACTACTGTGCTTAATTAGGTTTGCATGTATAGTGTTCATTTGATTGTTCTTCTTTAGTTGTAAAAATTCATTATAAATGTTTTTTTATTGTCACTGCCGACTGCACAATAGAGTTTCTTTATTAACTCAGATTAATGAAGAAACATAACTTATCAACTTTGCGTACCATCTGCAGGATTTCTGATCAGGGTGTACCTGTTTTAATCTCTTTACAAATTAAATCCCAAATGCACAGAATGACAATAACATGTCCTTTATTTTGTTTGTTTTCTGGATCACCAACAACTACTCAAAGTATTTACAGTGATTCCAGTCATTGTTCAGGTATCAGGGTTTACATTGTCTTGTATGAAGCATTTTTATGCATTGATCATTTTTTATCAGATTTTCTTAAATGAAAAATCAATTAAAAAAACATAAACAAATGTTGCAACAAACTGCGAGATCAGATTTGTATGACACCATAATGGACATATAATGTGGATATAGTTTGATAGGTTTTTGAATATTTTTAATAATAATGTGATTCTTTACATATCTGAATTTTCTTCTCAGTGTCTGAGCTGAGGGTTGTTTTGCTGGGCAACAGCTGGTCTGAGAGGAGTTCAGTGGGAAATGTTCTCATCGGAGAGACCGTGTTCAATGCTGAGAAAGAATGGAATACCTGTCTGAGAGTCAGTGGACCTGTGGAAGACAAAACCATAGCTCTCATCAATGCTCCTGATCTGCTGGATCCGAACATGTCTGATGACCAACTGACAGAGATTATAGACAAATGTAAGAGTCTCTCTGAACCGGGACCTCACGTCTTCTTGTTGGTTATACAGCCTGAAACCTTCACTGGGAAAAACCAGAAGAAGCTACAATCAGTCCTGGAAAACTTCAGCGATCTATCATTTGATCACTCATTGATAGTGATATCATCGCCTGGTGGTCAGAGCTCTGGTTCCACTGAAAACTATCTGCAGCATCTACCGGTAACAGATATGATCAAGAAATGTAAAGACAGCTTGTTTCGGCAGAACCTTGAACAAAAACAACTGGTAAAAGCTATGGGAAAAATTGTACAGCAGAGTGATGGAGATCACGTGAGCTGTAATGTTTCCACAGCCACTACATCTGGTTTGCCCAGTTACCGACCAAGCCTGACACAAGGAGAAACGGTCACTGTCAACCAGGATCCTGTAAAAGGTACTTTTTTCATTTAGTAGTATTCTTCATAAATTGCTTTTGTTGTATAACAATCATGCATTACAAATATTTTACCAACTCCCACCATGCATCTGAGAGGCAGCTGATTGGTTGTCATTAGTGGTGGTTAGCATTTTCTTTCTTCACCATTCGAACAGCCAGTATAAATGACTTCAGTAAACCTAAGAATGTCTTCCTTACAGGCTGGCAGTTTTTTGTAACAACAACAAATGGTGTAAGTCATAATAAAATGTGATTTAATAATCACACTATAGCTGCTCAGTGAGGTTCAATATAGAAAAAGCAAAGTTTTATTACAGCCACTCTAAAATGCTGCCCCAGAAAACATCCATTTAGCTGGCAGTCAGTTGTTAGTCACTTTATAGTTCATTTGAACCTTGAGGCCAGTTCCACTGTATTTTACAAAAACATGGAAATGAGCTAAAACGCTGGCATTGTCATATTAATGTTGTTTCCACAAACGATAGTGGTCTAATCAGACCATCTCTCACAAAGAAAAAAATTCACTTAACTAATCAAATGCTTTGCGTTCTGTTTGAGATTCATAGCCTTTAGAAAGGACTCTTGATTTATGTCAAACTACCAGCATTGTCATAGTTGGAATTTTAGCAAGTGAAAACCAACTCTGAACTGTGACTTTGTTTTTTCTCTTTTTCATTTCAGCATCTTCCTTCAGGATTGTACTTTTGGGGAGAAATGAGGACAAAAAGGGAAAACTGTTTAATTTGATTCTAAAAACTCAAGATTCTTATTTGAAAAGATTCCAAACAACAAAACAATGTGTGGCCTCCTGTGGGGAGTGGAGAGGAAACTCTGTAACAGTCGTGAAAACTCCAGACATGCTCAGTCAAACTGAAGATGTAGTAAGAACACAGGTGGAGAGGTGCATCAGACTTTGCTCACCTGGACCAAATGTTCTTCTGCTGCTAGTGGATTCTGATTTCAATGAGAAGAAGAGAGAAAGACTGAACTTCATCCTGAGCTTGTTTGGTCATGATGCCTTTAAATACTCGATGGTCATCCTGACAGAAAAGAAGATCAGTAACAGTGTAAATAAGCTTGTTAAGGAATGTGGGGACAGAATGTGTGGAATAAATGACGCTACACGTAAAACGCTAATGGTTGAGATTGAGAAAATCATTCCTGGGCACAACAAGCCTTCTTTAAACCTGGTTCTGTTTGGGAGGAGAGGAGCAGAGAAGACGTCAGCAGCCAAGGCCATTTTAGGTCAGACTGAGCTTCATTCAGCCTCCAACTCATCAGAGTGTGTTAAACATCAGGGAGAGGTGTGTGGACGTTGGGTTTCCCTGGTGGAGCTGCCTGCCTTGTATGGAAAACCTCAGGAGGCAGTGATGGAGGAATCACTCAGGTGTATCTCCCTCTGTGATCCTGAGGGTGTCCATGCCTTCATCCTGGTCCTACCTGTGGCTCCCCTCACTGATGAAGACAAGGGAGAGTTAGAGACCATCCAGGACACATTCAGCTCTCGAGTCAATGACTTCACCATGATTCTGTTCACTGTGGACTCAGATCCTACAGATCCAGCTGTTCTTAACTTTGTAAAGAAAAACCAGGACATCCAGGAGCTCTGTGAGAGCTGTGGAGGAAGATCTGTTGTTCTCAATGTCAAAGACAAAGGGCAGATATCAAAGCTGCTGGAAACAGTGGAAAAGATGACATCTGGCAACGATGAATCAAGCTATACACTCACCATGTTTACACGTGTCTGTGTGGATAAAATCACCACACTCCAGGCGGAGCTGAAAAACTTGAAACCACATGATGTAGGCCTTTGTAAGTATTTTTTTTAATATATATTTTCATGGGTTTTATAAAACTTATAAATCTGCCAAGGTTGAAGATCATGTCTACACACATAAAATCCAGACATTAGAACAGACATTATTCTTACTCAACCTCCAGTTCTCATTCATCATATTAATTAGACTTATACTTGGTTGTATTTTTGATTAAGAATAAATATTTTTTGATATTTACAAAAGTACATAGAAACTATATTTAGCATTATAATTTTAAACATGAAAGACTGGATGTTAAGGCCTTATACCCTCTCTCAGATGTAATGAGAGGTGAGCCAGGGCATCTCCTGTCCCTTTGAATTGCACTGTTCTCGATACCTGCAGGCCAAATAGTTCAATGTTTGTTTCATCAGGCCAGAGAATTTTGGCCTTATTGCAAACTCCAGGCTGAGGTCTGGACTTTGACAGGACCATTGCAACACTTTGTTTCATTTTCTTTTTCAGCCATTCTGTGGTAGATGTCTGGCTGTGCTTGGAATCATTGTCCTGTTGATGACTCACTTTGGTCCAAGTTTTAGCTCTGGGACAGATGGTCTCACATTTTGTATAAGGTGTTTGTGCTGATATGCTTGGTTTGGTTTTCTTCAAAAGGATTTTTGTGCATTATGTCCATACATCTCTGCTTTGGCCACATCTGTCCACACTAGATTGTTCCATAAATTTTTGGTTTGTTTAGATTAGAGATGGACCAATCCGATATTGCGTATCGGTATCGGTCCATCTCTAGTTTAGATGCATCTTTGAAAATCTCATACATACTACTGTGTTCTTGAAAACAGTCTTGAATAAGAGGTAGATCACATTATTCGGAAAGGGCCTAATAACACTTCACAGATTGATGAGCAGCAACAGTCTGAAATCAATGCTGATGTTTTTCCTCTTTGCTACTTGTCCTCTGAATTCTTCGGAAGCATAAAGGTGTATTTATGAGATCTTGGCACTGAAGTTGTTGTAAACATTTTCCTAATCTTGTGGTGGATTTTGGCTTTTATTTTTTGTGGGGGCTAATTCTCATTTGATTTGACGTCTCCCCCTTGAGGCTGATGACAGAAGAAATATATTGTCAAAATTACATAGCGGTTATTGTTTAGAGAGGTTATGACAATAGTGAGAGAGGTCTGTCTTAGACATACACTGATAGACTGGCCAGGGACCGTCAGCTGATCGGAATCAGCAAAGCTCTATATCACCAGGTCCTTACATTAAAACCCACCATTATAATTGCAATCGGTGTGTTTCCCAATTCCTTACGTATTGATACTTGTGTAGGACAATTTGTTGTCACATTTAATGTAACTGGTAAGCATAGTTTTACATTTTTTATTAATTTTTAGGGCCCGGGCACTGACAGTGCAAAGGCCCTATTGTATCTGCTCCGTTTCTTCTTATTATTATTATTCAGGCAAAACAAGGGCCTTTTTGAGGGCTTTAACATGCTCAAAAACTCATGAAATTTTGCACACATGCCAGGTCTGGTGAAAAATTTTGTATTTTAATGGTTTTACATATGAGCACTAGGAAATGGCTCTAGAGCGCCACCTATGTGTTGTTAAATGCAGCCCTACAAACACATCGTTTGAGCTACATGTATGAAATCTGGCACACATGTGTACCATGCCGAGACAAACAAACAAAAAAAGTCTGTTGGCCCATTGACGCAAACCCAACAGGAAGTCCGCAATTTGGAAGTGAAGGTGACATTTTGGCTCTAATTTTGCCATTTCCATGCCTCGAACTTTTTCGAACTCCTCCTTGGGATTTGGTCGTATAAGCTTCATCTTTGGTCAGTGTCAACTACACACCTGGACCATGTTAAATTGCGGAGCTTTTGAGTTTTCGTGATACGGTGAGGGGGTGACGCCATGGCGAAGTTTGATGACTCGCCATGAAAATCTTGTTGCCTCTCATTCTATCATACATTGTCCGATCTGGACCAAAGTGAACACATATGATAAGGCTCCAGCCCTGAACATATTTCAACTGCCATATTTGTTATCGGGGACAGCGCCACTTAGTGGGAACAGGAAATGTCATGTTTTACACTTTGGGGTACAGTATTGTGATGGGTGACATCTGCAGCCTCAAATTTCTCCAGGAAAGCCTTAAGGAGTTGGTCTTGTGTTACAGTGAAAACTGTGAGTTTTCGCGAAAGGGTGTGACCCCAGCAGCATGGCGAATATTGATGTCTTGCCATGAAGAAACAAATTAGTATAACTCAATGAATCCAGTCTGTACCAGTACCGACTTTACAGGCATGATGTCAGACCCGCCCTGAACAGATTGATGTGCCCATTGTCAGGAATACGCACAGCGCCACCTAGTGGCAACAGGAAATGTCATGGCTTTCACTTTGTTGTACTGATTTTCACAGGTTCATCGTGGCCACCTCAAAAGCGGTGAATATCACCATGAGTCCCTCTTGATGCTTCAGTGAGAAAATTGTGACTTTAAACTGAACGGCGCACCCTGGTGGTAACGCGGTTCACCATGAAAAATGAAGTAGCTTTTGAGGGGCTTGGAAAGTTTAAAAAGTCTTGAAATTTGGCGCACACCTCCAATGTGATGAAGGCTTTGTTGTTATGTGATCACTTTCCTTGAATAGCGCAAAATGGCTCCACAGCGCGTGTTTTATCTATGAGTCTGAAACCTCGTAAGCTTATGGAAGATATCAAGATGTACAAAAAAGTCTCTTGGAGCAATATCCCAAATCCAACAGGAAGTCAGCCATTTTAAAATTAATGTGTAATTTTGGCGACATTTTCCCCTCCTTTCAGGCCTCGTACTTTGACGAACTCCTCCAAGGGATTTCATCAGATTGGACCGATCTGCAGTTTGTGGAATCTAAAGACCTTTGTGATGTTAAATTGCGAAGCTTTTTACGTTCAGGAAAACGGGGTGGTCATGGCGGTACTTGGGGTTTCAATCACTCGTCAAAAAACAGTAATCTGCTGTCACTCAAAAACACAATGTCCAATCTCTCCCAAAGGTCGCAGGTGTGATGAGACTCAACCTCGGAAATGTTTGTTATGCCATTTGTCAGTAATGGTTAGAGCGCCACCTAGTGGGACGACTATAATCATGGTTGAATAAGGTGAAATGTTAGCAGGTGATTAAATGGATGAATTCCATCAATGTGACATCAGATCGGACGTGCTGGTTTTATGTGTTGGGCGTGGCTCGACACGCCGGGGTGCTCATAACGCTGCTTGCAGTTTTCATTTTTTTATTGTAATTGTGTGAAGGGATGGATGGTAATCTAAACAACAACCTTTTGAAATGATTTAACATGGTCTTTAATACCAAACATGACCTGTGAGCTAAAAGAATAAGCGATTGAGAAAAACAAAACTTGTTCCTAAGGGATACAGTGTACGCTTGGCTGACTGTTTTGACTTTGTTCTCATTCATCACTAAGTCATGTATCACAGTTTTTGTCTTTTAGTTGGGGTTTTTTGTAACGGATAACAATAATGTTCAGTCAGTTGCAGTATTTGATGTCCTGGTATGAAATGTTTTTGAACATCTAACTCAAAATTAGAAGGTACTGAAAGATTATTAAAATGAGTTAGAATTACCTTTCACTAACTATGTATTCTTAACTTACAGTGGATGAAGAGAAGCAGAGCTCAGACTGTCTGAGAATTGTGCTGATCGGAAAGACCGGCAGTGGAAAGAGCTCCTCAGGAAACACCATTCTAGGAAGAAAAGAGTTCAAAGCTGGCGCAAGCCAGACATCAATCACCAAACAGTGTCAGAAAGCAGAGGGTGACGTGGACGGTCGTCCTGTTGTCGTGCTCGACACTCCTGGACTCTTTGACTCGACTTTGTCACATGAAGAGGTCTGTGAGGAGATGACTAAGTGCATCAATCTTCTGGCTCCAGGACCACATGTCTTCCTGTTGGTGTTGCAGATTGGCCGATTAACGCCAGAGGAGAAAGAGACTCTGAAACTGATCAAGAAAGTCTTTGGGAAAAATTCAGAGACGTTCACCATCATTCTTTTCACAGGAGGAGATACACTCGAACGTTATGAACAGTCTATTGAAGATTACATTAAAGATGCATGTGATGATTCCTTTAAAAGTCTGATCGCTGACTGTGAATCGAGATACCATGTGTTCAATAACCGTGAGAAACAAAGCTGCACACAAGTCAGTGAGCTGATAAAAAAGATTGACACCATGCTTAACAAAAATGGAGGAAAATGCTTCACAAATGAGATGCTGCAGGAGGCTGAAGCAGCGATAAAGAAACAAATGGAGAAACTGCTGAAAAAGAAGGAAGAAGAGATGAAGAGACAGAGGGAGGAACTCGAAAGAAAACACCAGGAAGAAATGAAATCAATGAAAGCAATAATGGAAAAGCAAAGAGAAGAAAATGAACAAAGAGATGAGCAACTCAGACAGTTACGGGAAAGCATTGACTTTCAGTCTGAAGAGAGAAAGAAAGAACTAGAAACTAGAAAGAAAGAGAGAGAAACAGAAGAACTTAAAAGACGAGGATGGGAACAAAAAATTCAAGAACTGGAGAAAAAACTACAATCAGAGTCAGAATCAAAGGAAATGATTAACAGGGAGCTTGAACAGTACAAAGAAAATATAAGAGAGCAGGATCAACTGAAAGAAAAACAAAACCAAGATGATGAACAGAAAGAGCAGAAACTCAGGAAGCTCCAAGAAGAATACAACCAAGTAAAAGAAAAATTTAAATGTGAAAAAGAAAAAGAGGATGAAATCAAAATAGAACAAGAAGAGAAACTAAAAGAGTTGGAGGAAAACTATAAGAAAGAAATTGAAAACATACAGGAAGACATGGAGAAGTTTAAAGAAGAGGCCAGAAGATCAGCTGAAGAGTTGAATGAATTCAGAGAAAAATATGAAGCTGGGATATTTAAACTCATGGAGGAGGTGACGGATCTAAAGGAGCAACATCAGAAAGACCTGCTGGGAAAAATGGAGGAATATGAAAGATTAAAGGATCTGTCAGACCACAAAGAAAATAGTCTGAAGCAGGAAATAGGTGTTCTGCAGGGTAAACATAAATCAGAAATAGCTGATTTAGTCCTGATGCTCCTGAGTCAAAAGCAGGAAAACAAGAAAAAAATAAAAAGCATGCAGGAATCACACAGAAAAGAGGAAGAGAAGCTTAAAAAGGAGCTTTTACATGAGAAAAAGGAAGAAGAGAAGGAAGAAGTTGGCAAACTAAAGAAGAAACAAAAAGAAAAAATGAAAGAATTGAGGAAACAGCTTTTGACCCAAAACAAAGACGACTGGGAGACAGAAAGGGACGAGCTGTCCAACCAACATGAAAAAGAAATTTGTGATTTAAAGCAAACTCTTTTAACAAAGCTGCAACAAAATCAAAAGAAAAAATTGGGTAAACTAAAAGAAGAACACGAGCAAAAACTGGACGATTTCAAACAAAAGCTTCTGAAAGAAAATGAAAAAAATGAGAAAGAACAACTTGATGAGCTGCAGAAGAAACAGGAAAAAGAAATGAATGAACTAAAACAGAAACTCGGGACCCAAGATGAAGACAGTACCAGGAAGGAACTGGAAGAAATGCAGAAAAAACATGAAACAGAAATTAATGCGCTGAAAGAAAAACTTCTGACTACAGACAAGAAACAGCCCTGCTTTGTCTCATGAGCAAAACTGCAGACATCAAGAGAGACATTCATGTCCTTTAATGATGCCAAGTATCACTATAACACATTATTGGGGACATTTTGGGAGTCTGTGGGGACTGAAGCACTTCTGGAACCAGCTTCAAGTGGACTAAAACTAAACTAAACTGGACTAACTAAGACAGATATAGCTACCTTAATTCTACCGTAAAACAATAAGACAAGCTACGCCCTCTCCCATGCTCCCAGGATGTGGGGTGAAGCCAGAACACCCTAGAATGTTACAGACCTCCATGAGACATTCTTTCAATATGCCACCAACTATATACTTCTACACACAAGTGATTACATGCAGTATTCTACCATATGCAAACTTATATCATTAAAAGATTATACTGACTACTAAGTACAATTTTCCATTGACAGTATTCTTTTATACTTTTGAGTTGTGGAATAGTTTCTGATTGTCATTTTACAGATGTACTGAACATCAGTTAATAGTCTTCTTGTCATGATCCTGGGTCTTCTGACCCAGCGTTTTAAGTTTATTTTGTTCATTAGGTTATCTAAGTTCATTTGGTTATTAGACTCCTTGTGTTTTCTTCCCCTGTATTTAAGTTTCCCCTCACCCTTTATGTTTCATGCTGCGTGTCTTATGTTATCAAGTTTGTATTATCATGTCTGTCTCATGTTTCCTGTTTTATTTTGAAGGAGTCGTGTGTTCTTTGTTCATTGTATTTAGTTTCACTTCCCTTGTCCTGTCATTAGGCTCATGTCAGTCAGCTGTTCCTCCATGTGTTCCCACTTCCCCTAATCACCTGCTGTGTATTTAAGTCCTCTGTTTTCAGTGTGTGATTGTCAGGTCGTCTGTTGTCTATGCCATGCTTCTAAGTTGCTTGTCTAGGTTTGTCTTATTGTTTGTTTAGATTTCCCAGTTTATGTTTGTGTTCATTTTGCTTCAGTTTGCCTTGCCCTTTGTTTGTACCGTTTCTACCAGCCATATTAAACGGCTCGCCTTTTGTTAACATTTCAAGTTTTGTTCCCTGTTCCTTGGAGTCTGCGTTTTGGGTCCTTTTTTCAATTCATACAGTCTGCCCTCGCCAGACTGTGACACTACTTCCCTGGGTAGGGTGTTTTTCCTTTTCACCAAAATGTATATTTTTATGTTGTATCATTTTTATTAATGCTTGTTTTATATGAATTCTTTTGATATTTTAGAATTAAAGAGGATTTGAAGTTATGATTCGCATGGAGATTTAACATTAATTACATTTTATTATAAGATAAGATAAGATAAGATAACCTTTATTAGTCCCACACGTGGGAAATTTGTTTTGTCACAGCAGGAAGTGGACAGTGCAAAAGTTATGAGGCAAAAATTAGAATACAATAAGAATAAATACAGTACACAGCTGTACAGAATAGAATAAAATAATATACTATATACAGTAGAATAAAATAGAATAAAAATATACAATAAGATAAAAATAGAATACGAATGCTATATACAACTGAGTAAAAATACAACGATGCCAGAAAAGATTATTGCACATTAGTGTTATTGCACATGTATGGATGTGTGTGTTTGTTCAGTTAAAGTCTTTGTTGTGGAGTCTGACAGCAGTGGGGAGGAAAGACCTGCGAAATCTCTCCGTCCCACATCGTGGGTGCCGCAGTCTCCCACTGAAGGAGCTGCTCAGTGCTGTCACAGTCTGCTGCATGGGGTGGGAGACGTTGTCCAACAGGGATGACAGCTTAGCCGCCGTTCTCCTGTCACTCACCACCTCCACTGGGTCCAGAGGGCATCCTAGAACAGAGCTGGCCCTTCGGATCACCCTGTTCAGTCTCTTCCTGTCCCCAGCAGAGATGCTGCCGCCCCAGCAGACCACGCCATAAAATATAGCAGAAGCCACAACAGAGTCATAGAAGGTCTTTAGGAGTGGGCCCTCCACTCCAAATGACCTGAGTCTCCGCAGCAGGTACAACCTGCTCTGCCCTTTCCTGTAGAGGGCGTCTGAGTTATGAGTCCAGTCCAGTCTGTTGTTCAGATGAACACCAAGGTACCTGTAGCTGTCCACAGCCTCAATGTCCATACCCTGGATGTTCAGTGGTTGCAGTGGAGGATGCTTGTGCCTGCGGAAGTCTACCACCAGTTCCTTGGTTTTACTGGCGTTGATCTGGAGGTAGTTCAGCTGGCACCAGTCCACAAAGTCTTGAGTCAGTCCTCTGTACTCCTTGTCGTCCCCATCAGTGATGAGGCCGACTATTGCAGAGTCATCAGAGAACTTCTGCAGGAAGCACTGGGTGGAATTGTGGGAGAAGTCTGCAGTGTAGATGGTGAAGAGGAACGGAGCCAGAACCGTTCCCTGTGGGGCCCCCGTACTGCAGACGACCCTGTCCGACACACAGCCCTGAGTCCTCACATACTGTGGTCGGTCGGTGAGGTAGTCCAGGATCCAGGTAGTGAGGTGATGGTCCACTCCAGAGTTCACCAGCTTGTCCTTTAGAACCGAGGGAAGAATGGTGTTGAAGGCACTGGAGAAATCAAAGAACATGATTCTCACAGTGCTTCCAGCGGTCTCCAGGTGAGCGAGGGAACGATGTAGGAGGTGAATGACGGCATCATCCGCTCCAATGCCAGGCTGGTAGGCAAACTGAAGTGGGTCCAGTGATGAGCTTATTAGGCGCCGAAGCTGAGCCAGGACCAACCGCTCCAGGGTCTTCATCAGGTGGGATGTCAGAGCCACCGGCCTGTAGCTGTTGAGGTCCTTGGGGCGTGAAGTCTTTGGCACTGGTACAACACAGGAGGTTTTCCAGAGCTGTGGGACTCTTCTCAACCTCAGGCTCAGGTTGAAGAGGTGCTCCATCACCCCACACAGTTGGTCCGCGCAGGACCTGACGACCCTCGAGCTGATTTCATCTGGACCCGCTGCCTTCTTGCCATTAATCCTCATTATCCTGTTTGTACGGTTTTCACCTCCTCTGTTGAATGATCCAGAAAAATGTAGTTTTGGCTTTTTTCTGCATTGATAAATACTGACTGAATACTGTGTTCCGTTTGTGTTTACACAATAAAAACAAAGTTAATGTAAACTGAGGATGTTTTTCAGAATGAAAGTAATGAAATTAAAATAAAGGACAGAAAATATTCAAAAACTATTTAGCAGAGAAAATAGTTTGTGGATGATCGTGATCAGCTGAAGAAACACTTTGGGAAGCGTCGTGGGCAGATGTTGTTGCTTTCAGGATTTTACTGCTAGCACACACTAATACCATATAGTAAACAACACAACTACACCCAAACAGGTCTAAATAAAACAGCTAACTGAGGCTTAACAGTGTTGGAATATAACTGGAATAAACCCCCAAATAACAATGTTCATTATTAGAGTCAGGTCTATGAAACAGAAACAAATGGAGTATAGTTTACACTAGGATGTGCCAGAGGGTCAGAGAATATCCATCAGTGTGTAACCATCAAAGGCCCTTATTACAGAAACCGTAGACTAATGAGTCAGTTATGTTACAGTGTGACCAGCTGATGCTGTTAAAATGATCACGATATGTAGGAATGTGACTCAGACATGAAGCTCACATACTGTATGCTCTCTGACTCTCCCACCATCAGAGCCATAAATCCTTTTTTAGACGTACTTGTTGGGATCTACTTGCAAAGTTACGCTGTGTGTGATCATGAGCTCAGCTCCAACACAGGCAGTGGAAAAGATTAAAACAGCTGTATTTAGTAGTCATATTGTTGACATATTAATCTAAATATTATCGATTGTAGGATTACTACTGATATATCACACCTACAGAAACAGCCAGATTAAAAATGGTGTGTCAGTCTTTTGGCTCGCAGGCTGCAGAAACTTGTTTCTACTGGAAACTTGGTGGTTTTTGTCTGTTTTTCAGACGTGTATGATTTGACTCACTGTAAGAAAACCTTTGCTAAACGTTTCTGTTTACATGAAGATGCCATTCCAGACCTCAGAAGATGAGGCACATAATAATTCATTTATAAGTGTAATACAGGTAAATAAACTGGTATTTGTGTGTTTGTACGAACTAAGCATTAAGAAGACTTTTACACTGCAAATCTGTTGGTTTCTCTGTGAGTGACATTTAAACTTGGAGCTTTGTGTGCACTGCTCATAGACTGTATATAAAGGATGGACACAGCCACCTTGAGCAATGGGTTTCTGAACTCAGAGGCGTTTTAGAACGCATGGCTCCTGCCATGTTGAATTTTTGGATGTGCCAGTGACGTGCCAAGTTATTAGCAACAGCCGGCAAGCTTAGACCTCATTAGAGCAAAAGATAAAAATAAAATCACAAAATTTCACTCGCCAAAATTAAAGCGCAGACTTTTTAATGACATTTTAATGTTGTAATGAATGAAATCCTGAAACCAAACTAAAGAGAATAAAACTTGAAAGGTGACAAGTTATCAACATTTTATTGTTCATATAATTCTGAATATATAATATCTTACTGTTTCACTAACAGAAAGCTGCAGCTAACTTCAGTATATACCTCAGTACATTTCTGTGTAGAGTCCCATAAAGAACAACAAGAAGAGAGAGAGATCAGCTGTGAGGAGAAGAAGCTCGAGCTGAATGATATTCATGATGAATTAACTGTAAACTGGTTTAACCGATGGACTCAACACCCTCACTTCCTGTTTTCTCTTCTTTCACTTTTATCAGACATGTTGTGTTTTATCTTTAATAAGATGACCTTTGAACACAGAATACTGACAGCAGGAAGTATTATCAACATGATGATATTTAGTAATTTTTCAGCAACTCTGATTTACTGGGTTTGTTGTATAAAAGACCAGAAACACGTCGTAACTTTAGACATCCAATGCACACATAATTACAAACTATTTCAACACACGTTAAACTATTTTACAAATGCATAACCCAACACTAATCCAATTCAGGGTTGCTGGAGGCTATCCCACGTGTTACACCTATGGTCACTTTAGTAAAACACATGAATAAAGAAGCAGTGATGAATCTTCATGCACAATAAAGTCCAACACACAGGGTTAGTGTAATAATTTACATGCAAGGATGTAAATTGTTTCTAGGATGGATGCTTGTCTGTTTTGTCCATTAGTCAGGTTTCATGCTTATTGTGTATTTCTTTCATGGACAGCCAGGCCGACCACATAAAGGGAAAAGACCACCTGCAGTCTTTGGGCAGGTATGAAGCAGTGAGATGTGTGGGTCACACTGTGAGAAGTGGAGAACAAGGCGAAATGTAGGACTTTGAAATTGATGCGACTGGTGTATCTACGAGGAGGCTGAGGGGTACCAAGGCTGCTGCCAGTATTTTTATATTTACACTTTTCAGCCAAGTAAACAGCTGTTGATATGCTGTATCTACGACCTTCTTCTTCTTCTTTCCCTTTAAAGCTCACCACAGCAGGTCATCCTCCTCTCTCTCCTCCTCTGTCACACCAACACTCTGTTCTTCTTCACTACATCCATGAATCTTCTCTGTGGTCTTCCTCTTTTCCTCCTGGCAGCTCTGCCTTCCCATCCTTTCCCAGTCTATCCTCTATCCCTCCTCTGCACACGTGCAGCTTTGTCTCCAAACTGCTGAACCCGAGCTGTCCCTGTGATGCAGTCCTCTCTAATCCTGTCCATCCTGATCATTCCCAGTAAAAATCCTCCCGTCCTCTGCCACCTCCAGCTCAGCCTCCTGTCTTTTTGCATCACAGCAGCTCTCACAGGAGACCATTCTCAAAATCATCTTGTAAATTTTTCCAATTAAATTTATCAAGAGGTGTAAGACCTTTAGGGTGCTCTGCTTCACACATCTTCACTTGTATATTCATTCCTTTCTTCTCCAGTAGCTCCCAACATGTACTCTGAGTGATACAGGTCCTTTTGTGGGCCTCAGCTCCACAGTTATGTCTTCTCTTTGGAGGAAGCTGGGATCCTCAGTTCAGGATTATGCAACCTAAATGATTCTGTTAATGTTACACCTCCTGTGCTGAGAGAGTCCAAAAATCCACTTTGTTCAGTCACGTGTTTGTCGGATCTTCCTGCCAGTTTCGTGTTTCATTGTATAGCGATGTTTGTGTTTCAAGTATGTTTGTGTTCTTGCTTTCAGGTCCTTTCAGTGAACATTTCAAAGCAGTCAATAATACAGACACATCTATGATGGGCACTGACACAAGTCTTCAGTGGTGCTCCTGGAGCTGAGATCTTAAACAGAAAACAATCAGGGATGAAGAAGATTCATTTCAGTCTCACAAGCAGTTTTTTTTAAAGGAATCAGGTTTGTTCCAGTTTGCAGAAAAGACACCAAACATGTTAAAACTATTTGTAATGATGTGGGCACTCCTATCACTGCCTCGACTTCATCTTCATCCTTTTCAAATGCAGATTCATCAAATGTTCCTGATCTAACAGTTTCTTTAAGCTCACGGTTCTCCTCACTTCACTGCATTTCTTTTGTAAACTTTCACTTGTGTCTTTTTTGTTTTGCTCATCATCAACACCTGGAAGTGTCACAGATGATTTAAATCTGAGAGCCGCTGCATCCTGCTACATCTTTTCCTCCATCCTCTTTTCCTGCAGCGTGCTGTGCTGCTCACACCTCTGCACGTCTTCCTCCCTCTTCCTCTTGTTGGTGGCTGTTGTGCTTGAGGAGATGGGAGGAGCTCAGACAGAGGACACATCAGGTGTGTCACCTAAAAAAAAAAACGCTTTCTGTTCAGTAAATGCTGAAGTATGAACATGTGTGACAGATTTCCTGAACATCTGTTCTCCATCAGAGAGAAATCATCTGATGGAGAGTTTTTACACGGACAGAGTAAGCGCACATCTGAGCGCGCAGTCACGCACTTCTCTTTTTTCTCCTGCGGGTGGGCGTGTCCTCTGACGTCACATGAACCTGAACCGTAGAAACTTCAATCCTGCAGCTCTGAACCTGCGTGACAGCGTCTTCATCCAGGTAACATTTATCACAGACAGCACAGAGAAGCAGGCTCAGACCCGCCGTCAGACTTTAACTATGAGAAACTTTCTGTGACCTCGAGGTGAATTTTCGGTTCAGGTAATAAACGCGGAACATTTGGACCGGAAGTAAACGATATAGTTCATGTCGTATTTTTGTCTGTAAATCTGTGTGAAAGTAAGATTGAACCGGTGACTTAATTAAAAAACGGGATAAAGTACAGAAAAACTGCTCACCTCATGATTACATCATATCTCTGTGACAGTAACGCAGCCGAGGTGCGATGGGAAGACGCGGAAATGGAGCGCGGTAACACAAGAACACTTGCTTTCACTTCTCTGCTCGCTCTTTGTCGTTTAAACCTGGTTAAAGTTAAAGCTGAGGAGTGCAGTGCTGTTGTGAAAGGTTTGATCAGGAATCAGGAAAAGTAAAGTCTGTCACTGTGTCCTGATACAGGCCTGTTCTGTGGGCTGTGTTCTTTGGATCAGAGGCTGTAGAACCAGCTTGGACCGTGTTTGGTGGTCCTGATATGGTTCATGGACCTTAATCTGCTCTCTCTATAATCTGCTGTATAATCTCTCTGAAATGATGCGACTCAAGGATTAAACTGAGATAAATATCTCTGTTAACTAGGCCTCCGACACCATTTTAGGTATTAGAGTAGGAGGAGCCAAGGCTTTTTTTTCTTGAACTTTATTAACATGTATACTTAAACATTATTGTCCATTTTTACCTGCGATAATCAATTTATTTTTTCTATATAACTAAGTTCTGTTTTACTTTTGTCTGTTAATATATTTTTCAAATGTGACTACTGAATAAAATAAACAGACTGATGAAGCTCTGACTGTAAACAGCTGCTTTTGGCTCAGTGGGGTCACCACAGGGTCGCTCCACCTGTTTGGCTTGGCAGATCGTGGGGTTGTCCGATGCCTCCCCACAGGAATCACATCAGGCAGGGCTCACACACAGGTTAGAAATAAAGTTTCAGAGAAAAAATAAAAAAATAAACGTTCATATAAAAGAGTACTGTGAGAAGCAGTCCTGTATAATTATAACCTGTATGCACACTTGGCCACCTTTACATGATCTAAAAGTACAAGTAAAAACAACCTGCTTTAAAACACATCATGAAGCGATATGCATAATTACACAACAATAAGCTCACACTACTCTCACAGAACAACAGTTATAAACTGGTGCTTCAGGGTCTGTCCTTAACAGTGATGCTGTGTTTGTGTGAAGGCTGCTTGTGTGCAGCAGCATCTATATTTGAAGCACCATCTGCTGTGATTTCTACAACCTGGTGTTCAGATTCACTTTTACAGCTCAGATGTAAATAGACTTTATACCTTGTGAATAAATTACTTCAAGTTTTCACTCCATATGATACAGAGGTGGAAGTCACCTGCAGCTCGACTGCTTTCTGAAGATACAACATGAGGTGTTGTGTTTGTGAGTTCGACGCATTAACAAATTAACATTTTGAACTTTTCTCTCCTCAGGTTCTTAAACCCGACAGTTTGTCTCCAGATGAGTTAATAAATATCTGCTCATCTCGTCTGTTTCCAGCAGAGCGGCAAAATGGCAACTGCAGAAACAGGTGAGTGAGTAAGTGAGTGATGCAGACCCATCCAGAGTCAGCCTGGATGATGTAATGTTTCTCACTGTGCGTATATTCACCGCATCAGTGTCTGATGTTGTGTTCGTTACCTCTAATCACATGTGTAGGCCTTGTTTCTCAGTAGGAAAGTGTTCTTTTACTCTATAATAAATACATCTGGCTTTCTCCAGCTCTCAGCTTCAGTGGCGTGTATTTCAAAATGAAGGAACTGCATATTTGATTTGGCATCGATTTTTGCATCAGATGAAACCTACCTGTGTAACCAGACTTTTGGAGCAACAGGGGCAGTGTACTAGCTTGTGCACTGCACAAGGTTGGGATTGTGTTGCCTCCTTGTTGGAACTGGGACCTTTTGTAAGGTGTGCATGCTAAACCTACAGTATAGAAATGAACAGTGCATCAGCTAACCTTGAGCTGTGTCCTCTTCTTTTTATTTATCCAGCATTCCTTTGATACTTGCTTTGTAAAAACAAAGTTAAATTATTTTTCCATAGTGTAGGGTTAGAATGATTGCCTAACACATGAAAGGTCTCCAGTTTGTATTATTATAGGATCTTTACCTTACACTATAGAGCGTCTTGAGGTGACTGTTGTTGTGATTTGGTGCTATTTAAATTGAATTAAATTGAAAAGTCTGAAATAAACGCTTTATTTTTGAAAGCGTGCCTCTGGGGCAACAATTTTATTGTCAATGTCAATATTGTAGTTAAGTGAACACGAAAATCTAAGTTCCCAGAACTCTGGATCTTAATAAAGTTAACAACAGTCACAAGTGTTGTAGTTGGGAAGAACTATGACCCCAGTGCAGACTGACAGGCAGACTTGAAGCTTAAAACAACCTTTCATTAAAGGTGTAAAAAATTAATGGAACACAAGGGACTAAGATCATGGCAGCAGGCAAACAGTTTGATGTGACCAAGGGTTAAGGAGAGATAAGGGCTATAAACACACTAAGAGTAATTAGGGAGGTTGGACAAGCCAAGTGAGCACAACTAAAACTCAAAGGAGAACAAGACTGAGGGAAATAAAACTGGACACTGAACACATGAAGCAGGAAGTACCAAAATAAAACAGGAAATAAATATTGAAGCAAGGACTCAGCATATGAACTTGACAGAAGGAAAACCATGAAGACGGAGGGCACAGAAAGGAAACACTAGGAAGTCTATCAAACCAAGGTCATCAGTAACTAAAGATTAAAGACACCAATACTAGGCCATAGAACACCAATATTAAAGGAGCATGCTATAATAATAATAAGTAAGTAAGTAAGTAAAATTTTATTTATATAGCACATTTCTAGATAGAGATCACAAAGTGCTTTACAAGATATAACAGATTAAAAAGACAAAATACAAACAAAGTTAGCAAAAAGCAGTTTTAAAAAGATGTGTTTTTAGCTGTTTTTTAAAAGTAATCAATGAATCAGCGGATCGTAAGTCCTGAGGAAGGGAATTCCACAGTCTGGCGGCCACAGTAGCAAAAGCTCTATCACCCCTAGTTTTCAGTCTCGTATACTGAATGACAAGTAGGCCCTGACTACTCGACCTCAGAGACCTACTAGGGGCATAGGGCTGTAAAAGTTCAATAATATATGGTGGTGCTTGTTGTTGAAGAGCCTTAAAAGTTAAAACCAAAATCTTAAAATGGACTCTAAATTCGACAGGAAGCCAATGTAACTGCATGAGCAACGGTGTTATATGTGAATATTTAGAAGCTTTCGTCAAAAGTCTTGCTGCAGCATTCTGAACGATCTGCAGACGCTCCAAAGAACCTTTGTTTAGACAAGTAAACAGGGAATTGCAATAGTCCAGTCGTGAAGAGATAAAAGCATGAATAACAATCTCCAGTTCGGTATAGGATATTATAGAGCTCAATTTAGAAATATTTCTTAAATGATAAAAGCAAGACCGAACAAGAGATTTAACAAGACTATCTAACGTAAGAGCAGGATCAAGGATAATCCCTAAGTTCCTGACAGATGGTTTTACAAACGTTGAAAGAGGACCAAGAGCATTTATTATACTGGGTATATGTCTATCTGGGGCACATAAGAGGACTTCGGTTTTATTTTCATTTAGTTGGAGGAAGTTTTCAGCCATCCAGCCTTTAATGGTTTCCAAGCACACATTTAGAAGCTGCAGCTTCGAGGCCTCTTCCGGTTTAAAAGATATATAGAGTTGGATATCGTCTGCATAACAATGGTAACAAATATCCTCAAAAGGGCTCAAAATGTGCTGGAGAGGGAGTAAATAAACTAGAAACAGTAATGGCCCTAGCACAGAGCCTTGTGGCACACCAAAAGACAGGGACGCAGAAGATGATCTATACTTAGAAACTGCCACAGAAGAATATCGTTCAGAGAGATACGAGGAGAACCATTTCAATGCAGTCCCAGAGACACCGACCCAGCGTTTCAGCCTGTTAAGTAAAATATAGTGGTCAACAGTATCAAAGGCCGACGTAAGATCCAACATTAAGAGAACAGAACATTTACCTGCATCGCTTTGTAACAAAATGTCATTAGAAACTCTAAGAAGTCCTGTTTCAGTGGAATGAACTTTACCAAAGCCAGATTGAAATTTGTCGAAAATACTATATTTATCTAAAACTGCTGTAAGCTGCTTAGCCACGATCTTCTCTAAAATCTTAGCAATTAACGGAATTTTTGAGATCGGTCTATAATTGCTAGTGAGAGATGGGTCCAGCATAGGCTTTTTTTAACAAGGGATGTATAACAGCAGTTTTAAAATAGGCAGGGACTATGCCCGAGGCCAAGGAGGTATTAATTATAGTAAGAATACAGGGACCAGTAGAGTAAAAGACATTTTTGAATAATGATGCAGGTAAAAAAATCAAGAGAGCAAGAGGATAATTTTGTTGCACTAACTATTTTTCCCAGCTCTGGTAGTGAAACAGGTGAAAAACCTTCTAAAACAACAGGCCGAGCTGGCGTGGGAACTGACAGCGCAGACGCTGAAAAAGACAGGTTTTTCCTTATGTTGCTAATTTTTTCTAAAAAGAAAGCAAGAAAAGTTTCACAATCTTCAACAGAAGAAATAATAGCAGCAGGTGGAGCAGGAGTAATAATATTAGTAATAGTATCAAATAAAACTTTAGGATTACCTCTGCTCTTTGCAACCAACTGAGAAAAGTAAGCAGCCCTCGCAACTCTAATAGCACTGTTAAAGGAGGCTAAAAGACCCTTTAAATAGAGGAGATGAACATTTAAGTGAGTTTTCCTCCATAACCGCTCAGCTTTACGACAATTACGTTTTATAAGACGAATGTTGTCATTTAACCAGGGTACAGACTTGGAAACAAGCACAGGTCTCATTTTAATCGGACAGATTTCATCTAAGATCGAAAGACAATGATAATTGAATAGATCTATAGAAAAATCGTTTTGTGGGGATAATGTTAAATTAAAAGCATCAGAGAACTTCTGTGCTGTGGAGGAGTTTAAAGTGTGGGAAATAACTGTCCGATGAACAGGAGACATAGGCTCATAGAAAGACATATTAAAAAAGACACAATAATGGTCAGAAATAAAAATGTTCTTAGAACAAATATAATCAATATTCAGACCCAAAGAAAAAACAAGGTCCAGTGTATGGCCTTTGTTATGTGTGGGGCCAGATACATGTTGGATAAAATGAAAAGAGTCCATGATGCTGGTAAAACCCCTAGCAAAGAGGTCAGACTCATCATCAACATGTATATTAAAATCTCCCACAAGAAGCAATTTAGACAACCTCATAGTAGAGGACAGAAAATCACTAAACTTGGCTAAAAATGAGCTGTTTGGGCCAGGAGGGCGATAAACCAACGCACAGTAAAAAGGATCCTTCTTTCCGATTTTGATGAGCACATTTCAATAGTCAAAGTCAAGAACACAGGGAAGTATGATTTACCATTTTAAGAAATTAACCATTTTAGGAAAATAAAATGCCCGAGGGCCCGCATCTGGTAGCCGGACCTTAGTCCAGGGGCTCGGCCGGGCACAGCCTGAAAAAGGGACTTGGGCCCATTCTCCTGTAGGCTCAACACCTGCAGGGGGCGCCATAGTGGTTGGGTGCAATGTGTGTCAGGCAGAAGCCAGGAGTGGAGGAACTGGCAGACCGATCCCGGCTACCATGACTAGCAATTGGGACATGGAATTTCACCTCCCTGGTGGGAAAGGAGCCTGAGTTAGTGCGTGAGGTTGAGAGGTATCGTCTAAATATAGTCGGGCTCACCTCAACATACGGCTTGGACTCTGGAACCAGTCTCCTGGAGAGGGGTTGGACTTTGTCTCAGTCTGGAGTTGGCCCTGGTGAGAGGCGGCGGGCTGTGGTGGGTATTCTAGTATCCCCTCAGCTTGCTGCCTGTGCATTGGGGTTGTTCCCAGTGGATGAGAGGGTTTGTTCCCTGCGCCTTCGGGTCAGGGAATGTGTCCGGACTGTCGTCTGCGCTTATGCGACGGTTCAGAGTTGCTTGGGCAGAGTGCTTGAGGGTGCTCCATGTGGGGACTCTGTTGTCTTACTGGGAGACTTTAACGCTCACGTGGGCAACAACAGTGAAACCTGGAGGGCCCTGATTGGGAGGAACGGCTTCCCGGATCAGAACCCGAGTGTTTTTTTGTTGTTGGAATTCTGTGCAAATCACATTTTGTCCATATTTAACACCATAAGCACGTGGCACCAGGATGCCCTAGGTCACAGGTCGATGAACGATTTTGTAATTGTATCACCAGACCTGTGACCATATATTCTGTACACTCAGGTAAAGAGAGGGGCTGAGCTGTCAACTGATCACCACCTGGTGGTGAGTCGGATCAGGTGGCGGGGGAAGATGCTGGACAGAACTGGCGGACCCTCAATATACATTTATTGTGAGGGTGGTGGTTCCCATCTTTTAGAAGGGGAACAGATGGTGTGTTCCAACTATAGGGGGAATCACACTCCTCAGCATCCCCGGGAACCTAGGGACCAATAAAGTATTCTTAAAGTCTATGCCAGGTCGCTTTAAAGGAGAATTTGTCTGTTAGTTGAACCTTGCATACAGGAGGAACAATGTAGTTTTTGTCCTGGTGGTTGAACACTGGATTAGCTCTTTACCCTCTCGAGAATACTCGAGGGTGCATGGGAGTTTTCCCAACCAGTCTAAATGTGTTTTGTGGATCCGGAGAAGGCATTTGACCGTGTCCCTCGGAGTGTCCTGTGTGAGGTTTTTCGGGAGTATGGGGTGTCTGGCCCATTTCTACGGGCCACTCGATCCTTATACAACCATTGCAAGAGCTTGGTCCACATAGCCAGCAATAAGTCAGACTCATTTTTGGTGGGTGATGGACTCCGCCAGGGCTGCCCTTTGTCACCGATTCTGTTCATAATTCTTATGGACAGAATTGCTAGGGGTAGCCACATCATCTGCAGATGAGAGATTATATCTCTCGGCTGGCCTGGGAACGCCTTGGTGTTCCCCCAGATAAGCTGGAGGAGGTGGCTGGGGAGAGGGAGGTCTGGGCTTCTCTGCTTAGGCTGCTGCCCCCGCAACCCAGCCCCGGATAAAGCGGAAGAAGATGGATGGATGGACAAAAATAACATTGTCAAATCCACAAGAACTATGATTCCACAAAAACTCAAAACTCTGGATCAACAACCGAGGGACCCTGATACAGTAACAAGTTGGGAAAGTTTAAATGTGTTCATTCATATTGCTTTGACAATTAGAATGTTTTTTTTAGCTGGAGAAAGCCTAAATGTTTGAGACCAAATGTAAGCGATTTACAGAGCACTGCTAACATCTAATACTGAGAAAGAAAAAAAGCCACCACATATGAGTCAAGGCATCAAACACAGGATCAAATACTGACACAAAGAAAAGCTTCACTAGAAAGAGGTCTGATGTGACGATGGTAGTTATTTATGAACCAGTGTGTCTGTGTGTGTGACATCCTCATTGTTTTGTTTTATTACAGGAAACCTTCAACCCCTCAGACACAGCAGCAGCAATCCCAACATAAAACCTTCCAGTGAGTTAAGCTGCAGTTATGGTGTTTACGGTTATTTTACCATTCAGGATGCAAAGTTCAGACTCTCACATTGACTTCTTTCTATCCGTGCCCCCTGCTCTGTTAGATCCGTAGAATTTTCCAAACTTTCTCCATCATCTGATCTTCATCTGTCCAAATCATGTTCCTCACACAGTCCTGTATCTGCCTGGCTGACCCCCACAATCAGGTGTCAGTGTAGCTTTAGCCTTTAGTCTTTGTGATCCAGCTTTTTCCATTTGAACCTTTTTCTGAATCTGTTGCTGCATTGTTGCAGCTTTTTCCTGTCACGTTCCAACATAATCAGTGGACTCTACGTAGTCTCATAAATTTTAGAGTTACCATGTAACTGGAACTCATGACATCGATAATGCCTGACACATTCTGTAGAAAATTCACTTTGTCTTTAGCCTCTGCACTAGCACACAACCCACTCAGAGAAACACCTCATGAAACGTCAGCTTCATTAAACAGGAATCATAGCATTACGAAAGGAAAGGAGGAACACCTGACTCAGGCCATGCATTAGTTTAGATGTAGACTGAAGTTAAGTGTCCCCATCCTCACAGGAGAAAGCATAAAAACCTCTGTTTTCCTCACTGCATGTCAACAATTTAATTTCTGTGAATGCCTGATGTGTAGATCTAATTTAGTTTTTATCTTTTCAGTGCCTGAGCTGAGGGTTGTTCTGCTGGGGAACAGCTGGTCTTTGAGGAGAGACGTGGGGAACTTCATCCTGGGAGAGACTGAGTTCAGCACCGAGGAGCCGGACTGCTGTGAGACAAGTAGACCACTGAAGGAGAAGAACCTAGTTCTCATCAACACTCCAGATCTGCTGCTTCCAAACATCTCTCAGGACAAACTGAAGGAACATGTAGAAACGTGTGTGAGGCTCTCTGATCCTGGACCTCATGTGTTCCTGCTGGTTCTACAACCTGAAAACTTCACTGAGGATCACAAACAGAGATTCTGCAGAGTCCTTCAACTGTTCAGTGATCGATCATTTGACCATTCACTAATCTTCATGTCAACATCCAGAGAGGAGAGCTCATTTGAAAACTGTATGACTCATCCACTGCTAAAAGAAATGATAAGGATGTGCAGATACAGATACCTGTGGCAGAAGAGCTTTGAACGTTCAGAGCTGTTAACACGTTTGGTTCAAACAGCAAAGGAGATAAATGAAGATCGTTTGAGCTGTGATGTATTTGAGGATGAGGATGGCGGATTATTCATGAGACCAAAGTGTGTTTTAAACCTGGTTCTGTTTGGGAGGAGAGGAGCAGGGAAGACGTCAGCAGCCAAGGCCATTTTAGGTCAGACTGAGCTTCATTCAGCCTCCAACTCATCAGAGTGTGTTAAACATCAGGGAGAGGTGTGTGGACGTTGGGTTTCCCTGGTGGAGCTGCCTGCCTTGTATGGAAAATCTCAGGAGGCAGTGATGGAGGAATCACTCAGGTGTATCTCCCTCTGTGATCCTGAGGGTGTCCATGCCTTCATCCTGGTCCTACCTGTAGATTCCCTCACTGATGAAGACAAGGGAGAGTTAGAGACCATCCAGGACACATTCAGCTCTCGGGTCAATGACTTCACCATGATTCTGTTCACTGTGGACTCAGATCCTACAGATCCAGCTGTTGGTAACTTTGTAAAGGAAAACAAGGACATCCAGGAGCTCTGTGAGAGATTTGGAGGAGGATCTGTTGTTCTTAACATCAAAGACAAACAGCAGATCCCACAGCTGTTAGATACTGTGGAAAAGATGACAGTTAAAGAGTTCGGGTGCTTCTCCAAGGACACAGTCATCAAGGGTCTGACTGAGATGGTGAGGAAGCTTCCAGCTGAACAGAGGAGTGAGGTGGGAGGTGCTGATGGAAAACAGAGCAGAGCGAGAGAACGTAAAATCAGTGAGATGAGTGACGACACAAAGGAAGTCCCACAGATAGACGTGGAGAGAGTTTTGAAAGAGAAGGATGAAGAGATGAAGAGGAGAGACGAGGACCTCAAGAAAAAAGAGAAAGAGTTGAAAGCTCTGCGCATGAAAATCAGTGAGCAGACAGGACAGATTGAAGAGGAGAGAAAACTGAGAGCAAAGCAGCTGAAGGATAAAGACGAATCCATCAACAAGGAGCGCAAAGAGAGAAAGAGAGAACGAGAGGAGGAGACGAGGAGACAGAAAAAACAAGAAGAAGTAAGAGTTCAGTCAGAAAGAGAACAAAAGGAAGCAGCTGAGAGGAAGCTGGAGCAGCACAGGAGAGATATGAAGAAAGAGCGAGAGGCCTGGGAAAAAGAAAGAAAGGAGATCTGGGAGCGATTTCATCAGGAGCAAAAACAGAACCTGGAGGAGGTGAAAGCAAACCACAGAAAGCTGCAGGAAGAGTATCAGTGGAAGAGGAGGAAGTGGACATATTCATTAATTGCTGCCTTATTGTCATTAATAATGTTTTTATTATATTATATCTTTACCACAAACACTACAGAGAGCGCAAAGGCAGAGAAGGGTCTGTGAGCTTGGAGCGTTTGCTAAGATGTAAACTACCCTGATGGAGTTTGTTCAAGCTACTTTAAATAAGAGTGAAATTACTCATTTACACTTCAAATGGAATCATGAACTATAATAAAAAAAGTCACATCCTGCTGCCACTCAACGAAACAACAAACATCAAGCTGTAATTACAAAAAGTGAACGTCTCACTTTTTACAGGAATGTGCAGAACAAACAAAAGTCTTGGTTTGTGTTCAATGTCATCAGCAGGACACCTGCCAGGGTTCATGTGGGTGTCTGCTTAGTTACACAGGTTACTCCTAAAACAGCCCAGAGTAAATGTGAACAGTTATTAATATACAGCAGTAATGAGAGGTTTCAGGAGGTGTATCTGAGTAGACTGCCCCTGTTTCACTGTGGTCAAACTCGTGTCTGACAATAACAGCAGAGTCATCTTATGTTCAGTTGCATAAATGCCATGAGCTGCCATGTGATTGGCTGATGAGAAACTTGCATTGATGAGAAGTGGAACAGGTGTACCTAAAGAAGTGGCCAGTGAGTTTGTGTCATTGTGTAGGTTGGAGGACTTTTTGAATGTGATCGCTTTACTGTGCTGTTAACCTGAGCAATCACTAGATGGCGCTGTTGCATTGTTTTTGCCTGCTAGAGTTTTGGTTTTCCAAACTAACACTATCAAACAATTTTATGTTAAATTACTCAACAGATGTTTACTTCATCCCAATCACAAGCCATATGAACAGCAAACAGTTAATTTTTTCCCTTTACCTTTGTTAGATCGCATTTATGAATTAATGTGCTCGTTTTTTGTTTTTTTTTTAAATAAAATGTTATAATAAAAAAAATAAATCAGTTATAATCAAGTGGAGTGAGTGGAAAGACACAACACATTTACACGTGAAACAACATGTTTCACAACTAAATGGGATCAGGTGCTCATCAATGGTGACATTGGGCCCAGGGTTGTAAAACAGGGGAGGTGGTGCACCCACTTATCCCACACTGTCCTGATGGCAGCTAGCTTGACTCTCTGCCGTCGAGCTGGTCTGTCGTCTCGGTTATCAAAACGGATAATCCTGGAAATTTTGTGGAAGTTTTCCAGAGACATTGATGCACGGAAAGGTTCTTGCCGGTTTCTGCATCCCACAGGGATTCTGTCGATTCCCCTTTGGACCTGAAAACTCCTGCAAGGATAAGAACCCCAAAGTAGGCCTTTGGAGTTCTTAGATGGATTTGATCCATCTCCTTCCACCTCTCTCCAAAAACACACCTTCCTTCTAGATTACTGCAATCCAGAATAATTCTCTGGATGGAATCTGGGATGAAAAACTCAAATGAAGACTTGATGTCCTGCACATGAGTAACTGTCAGCCGTGTTGGCCCTGGCTTATCACAGTAACAGCTCTGCAGGGTGGCTCATTTCTTAGGCAAGAAGACCATTCAATGTCACCAGTTATTGACATCCATATTTCTTCACTTGCTGTCTGGTGGGCTTGTTCTGGTCCTGGAGCTGGCTGCAGATGGGGTACTCGTCTTTGTTTTGTTACTAAATGGTGCTCAACCTCCTCTTCTTCAAAGTCACTGTCAGACTCTGAATTTTCAGAAATGTGAAATATTCTGAAACCTCTTTGTCAACATCATCATCCGAAGCTCCTCTCTCTTCCAAAATCAATTGGATGGCCCTCGCAGCAGATAATCTTTTGCCATCTTGATCAGTTGTGATAAAGAACCACACTGGCAAAGTCTTATTTATAGTATTATGCCCCTAATTTGCAGGTCGGACAGGGTATGAGAAAATAAAATTTGGATTCCTCAAGAAAGAGGGTAAAATGTGCGGGAATGTCAGAGCAGACGGTGTTGATAGTTGAATTTTCAACAATGCTGCAACTTTGTGCGCGAGCAGGAGGGGAAGAAAACACTATCAGCAGCACCAGAAAGGAGGAGGACAGAGTGTGGGAACACAGGACCTACACTTTCAACACTTTTGTTAGACCTGGGTCCAGTGGACCCGAGCACCTTGTATGTAATGTAAATGCGTGGGGGGAGGTACAGTATGAGGTCATTGAAAATTAGTTCGGATTTATGTTCTTCACAGAAAATAAGCCAAAGCCAATGAATTTCAGGTTGAAAAAATAATTAATTGTTTAATTTTTCTTTAGAAAAAAACTGAAAACGGGTCTCATTCCGAACACCATACAAGGGTTAAAAAGTATTAAAGTAAAGCAGTTTCTGTTCTTTCATCTCAGAAACCAAGAAGCCACTCAGCTGTTTGGACCCATGCTTTACATTACTGCCATCTTGTGGTTGCAGTTGGCTATTGTTGCTGGAAGGTCCACGTACCATTGAACTCATTAGAAACTGTAGTGTGCCTCTATTTCACAGCTGTGTTTGCCATGTGCGAGTAAAAGAGATGGACATCAGAGGGACAGCTCAGGCTGGGTGATTTGGAGATAAAGTTAAGAGCCTTGGCTGAGATTGTACACGTTCAGAGAAGGTACAGTGGATATATTGGACAAAGAATGATGGATCTGGAGCTGACAGGCAGGAGGAAAAGAGGAACATTTTGGATGACGTTGTTGAATGTAGTAAAGAAAGACATGCAGTAGAGTTGGTGTGACAGATACTGGGGTGACATGGAGACAGATGATCTGCTGTGGCTACACCTACAACCTGAATAACAGAAAAGCTGAGATGTTTTTATTTTTATTTTAACAAAATGAAAAATAAAAGACTTTCAAATAACAGCAGAACATAAATAACATGACAAATGTTTAAACTGAGAAATTTTACAATTTCACGCCCAAAATGAGCTCATATCAAATGTGATGCTTGCTACAAGTCTCTGAATAGTTGCTAAACGGGCATGTTTACCACGGTGTAGCTCCTCCTTTTCTTTTCAAAAAAGTTTGAAGACATCTGGGTATCGAGGTTACAAGTATCTGGAGATTTGTCTTGATGCATCCTCAATCATCCAGGAAAATAAATCTCCAAAGGTTGATTCTGTTCATCTGGACGTAGCCTTTTGTGGGAGAAACGTTTCGTCATCATCCAAGTGACTTCTTCAGTCTCAGCTGACTGCAGGTTTCCCCAGTCTTATAAACACAACATTAGTTTACGCTGTACTGTCAACCTTTGGAGATATCTGGAGTTTTGTTGTTGGGATTTGGGCCCATTCATGCCTGATATAGGTATCAAGCTGCTGAAGAGTTTAACATGTCTTTAGCATGTTTTCCATTTAATGATGCACCAAATGTTCTCTATAGGTGAAACATCTGGACTCCAGGCAGGCCAGTTCAGCTCCTGCACTCTTCTCCAACTGTTGTAATAGCTGTAGTTTCACCTCTGATCTGAGAAGCTTCTTCAGTTCTAAGATCAATACATGGAGATTTTAGGCCCTAAGAGGGCCAAGGTGTAAAAACGGGCGTGAGTCACTATCAGCAGAGGTTTCGGGGGAAACCATTGAGAGACCTTGCCTCATCCTGTCATGTGACTTATTGAGATTGACTGACAAGAGATGTGAGTGGGCGTTAAGGCGTCTGGGAAGGGATCTCAAAACTGGCTTATAGATGGCAGACAGTTGGTGTCATAAGCCCCGCCCTCTGCTCAAACCATCTGTCCAAAATGTGAACATTGGCATCCTCGAAAGAGTGACCTGTTTGTAAGTCAACACTGATCTAGGAATCACTGAAGTACAAAAAAGGCTCCTAACTGAAGAGATGAACCAGTGTTTTGTCTCCACATCACAGACAAGTTTGTCTGTGATGTTTCAACACTTTGTTACGAGCAGCTTGTCACAAAAACACAGAACATGTTTGAATCTATGAAAAATGCCAATGAAAACAGTTTGACAGGAATAAAAACGTATTTTGAACCATTAAGGTGACTCCCGAAGAGCTTTCAGGGGAAAACGTGAAATATAGACTTGCGCAGCACTCTGCACACCTCCTCTTTCATTCCACACTTCTCTCACAGCAACAAGTTCAGCTCACGAGTCAGATCCAACAAACCGTTAGAAACAGTGCGTCCATGATCGATCGGCAGACTGATCAGGAGAAGTAGTGATTGATCGCATGCATCACAGATGTGTCTGTGTTTCGTAATTATTTTGGTGACACTTCACAGACGAAGCTGGATCCAGTTTTCTGGTCACTTTAAACAAAAACTGAGCGTCAGCTTTAAAGAACTACACACTGAGTTTTATTACGGATGAAATTCAGATCATTTGAGGAGGAATTAGAAGCAGCTCATCAGCTGATTCTGTATTTATTGATTTATTTATTAAGCAAAGACAGTCAGTGGATTTTCATTCAGACTGGTTTCAGCTGGAAAATGTCACCAAATATTTAAGTTGAAATTTCTCATAGTTTTATTTCAGACTGATGACGTAACGGTGATTCCTCTGTTACAGATTCTGTGGTCACAACAAAGCAGAGCAGCAGAGGACAGCAAAGTGTGTTTGAGTCCAGCTTCATGAGCATTTAATGTGCTGGTCATAAAAAGTTCCAGTGTTATAAAGTTACTGCTGTTGTGTTGTGCTGCTTCCTCACTTGTCTGAGGTGGTCAGTTGCTGCATTCACAGGATGCAAGCACAGTCTCTGATCTCTGGCTGAAGTTTCTTCCTCCCACCTGAGCCCACCACAGTGTGAAGGTCAGGTCAGGTCAGGTCTAGATTGTTGCTCTTTAAAGTTCAAACTATAAAGGTAAAATAATTATAACAGACACCTGCTCGTTCTTCTGTAGTTCACAAAAGTCTCTTTTTTCTTCCTTCCAGCTGAATGTGTCTGATGATTTCAGCAGTGATATTATGGCCAGTGCAGCAGCTGGTGAGTCTTTATTACTCTGATACATCCTGTCCCAGTGGGCACACATCACACAGATGTTCAGGCCTTCAAACCCAATCTGAGGCTGGAAAAGACAAAGCAGAGTCAGGTCGGATTATAACAGTTTATTTTTCATATAACATTATAACACAACATGTCACATCACCTGTAATTTTAATGACCTCAAATTACCCACCAGCACTTCCATCAGAATGAAGGAGTAAGAATTTAAATTGTTACAGGCCTGAAGAAATAAGTCACACTGTAGGTTTTTATCAAGTAATCGGGTATTAAGAGTATTTTAGAAGAAATGAGACACAAAGCACAGTGTAGGTCATTTTAAATAGTTGGTTACAGTACACATCAAACTGAGATAAGAGCCGTTTTTTCTTTGTTATTACCTGGAAAAATGAAGCCTGTGAAACATCATCGGCTGAATGATGCGCACGTTTGCAAAGTACATTTCTCACTGCTGTGCACAAAAATACATCAGCTTCAGAAAAACCTGTGAAACAAGTTTTGACTCAAATAAAATTCTTGTCCATTAAGTCATTGTGATATCAAATCCCAAAGAGGAGGGCTCATCTGAGGACTACACCAAGCGTCCACCCTTAGAAGCTGTGATCAGACTGTGCAGAGACAGATCCTCGTGCAAGATGAAACTTGATCACGCAGAGAAGTTAAAGCACTCGTGTCAGATTGTAAAGGAGAACAATGGAGAACGTGAGCTGTGACAGATTTGAGACTGAGGATCCTGCTTTAACCAAGACGTCCGAACAATTCAAAGTTTCTGATGAAAGTCGTCTTCAACCCTTTAAATTGAACATGAACATGTGTAGGTCTTTTTGAGTAAGTGAACTGAGCTGAATCTGCCGCAGTCATGCAGACGGCCCTCGTTTTACTTCATTGAAACACTTTATAAAAATCTGAATAATTCAGGTTTAATAAAGAGAACCAAAGGAATACATTTCTCACTTGTTGTAGAAGAGACGGTTATCATTATTACATCATTACAAAAATGACGAGTGGAACCAGTGAAAGTGGAACTGATGTGCTTTGTTGTTTTGCAGGAAAGTATCAGAACTGTTTTTCATTTTGTTTTAAAGATCCTGCAACAAAAGTCAAAATTCGTGGCGAGAAATCGTTTTTGTCTTCTTTCCCCTGAAAGTTTCTCCTGATTTTCAGAAACCTGAATGAAAACTGTTACTAAAGTAGTACTTTTACAAAATCTGTCAGCTGCAGATTTTTCTTTTTATAAGTTTTATATTCAGATGAATTATCTGACATCATTACATTTCTGATGAATCTTGTATTTTTTCAAAGACTTCAGAGAAATTCAAATTAAGCAAACAGCTGATTGACCCGTTTCACATGTCATCAGTTAAATAGCAGCTCCTCTCTGTGGGGCTGATTACTGCTAATTAAAACGATTGAATGAACTGGTTGATGACACTATTCTGTCAATTCTGACTGAAAAAGTGTCAGTATGAGTATAAACACATGAGGAAAAGACTAATATCTAATATCACTTGTTTGAAATAGACCTCAAAATGAGTTTTGTCCATATTCTGCATGAATCAAAGAAAGTTTGAAAGTTTCCCTTTAATTTTTGCTCGATGACACAATGACAGCGCAGTCAATGCATCTCACCATGAAACAGTTTTGTATAGTTTCAGTCATTATGCAAATGTCCTGGTTATAAGACCTGACCTGCAGTCAGCTGAGACTGAAGATGAGTGACGAAGTTTTTTTCCTTCAAAAAATGTCCAGATGAACAGAATCAACTTTTGGGGAAAAAATTTTTTATTATTTGTTTGTGATAAAATGTAAGAATTACAATAAACTCTGTGAAGATGCAGTATTTGTATACTGTGGGCCAGTGGATGAAGTGATGTAAGGAAGCACATCATGATTAAAAGCACTGTGGAGTAATCTAATCGTAGCTCTGGCATTGCAGCAGTTACAGAGGAACCACATTTATCTTCCACTTACTGTATTTTAAAATAAAGTCAGAGGTTTCCTGATGATTCTTCTGTCCATCTCTTTGTGGACACTAACGTAGGCGTGTGGATTCAGTGATCAGAACTGTGTGATTTTATGGTAATGACAGGAATGTTTTAGCGTCTCACACAAAGTTTGCTTTAGGCCTACCAAAGTCGTCCCAGGCCTGCAGTAACTGTAGCAGGATTAGTAACAGCATGAATAACTGTAGCAGCATTAGTAACAGCATTATTAACTGTATCAGTAACTGTATCAGTAACTGTATCAGTAACTGTATCCCATGCTCTGGCAAAGTTTTCCACTCCTTGAGGCACCTGCAGGGAGAAAACATCACAGGAAGTGAGCAGACATCCTGATGAACAGAAGAATGCCATGATTCAAAACTCCATTCAGACCTAGTTTCTTATCAGATAGAGAAATAAAATGAGTGTAAAAGCAAAATTCCTCCGCCTGGGCTGCCGTGCACCTCAGCATATCTGCTTCAACGTGTGACCCCGCCCCTCCCCGGACAGTCGAGGATGAGTGCACTAACATGCCTGCAGCCTGACGTTTTAATGAGTGTTTGATGGAAAATGACAATGGCAGAGTTTGTGCTCGCTCGTCCAGTCAGTGCCGTTCTTCATGCCTGTCTCATCAGCACAAACACTTTAAAGGGGACAATCTAGGCCTTCAGCAATAATACAGATGGCAATGTATTTAAAAATCTGACCTTTAAGATCTTAACTTAAAAAACCAAACAAACATCTGTCACATAGGAAAGAAGCATCAATATCTGATGAGCAGACGTATTAACTTGGCCTTAATGTGTTTTATTTGGTGGTGTTTGGTGCAGTTTTCTTGTTTTGTGGGGTTTTTCAACAGGAGATGGGGAACTCTAACATGTTGTTTTGTTCACGTTTGTGCATCTTAATTTTTAAGTTAAATGTGCTTTATACACTATATGCATATAAGGCACCCTTTTCCTTTGTGTGATGCATTTTTCTCTGTTTTTACAAAAAGGGAACAAAGGTGTTTAACTCAAACTTGGATGATCTTGTTCTTACTGAGGTGATGTGAAACATGCATTCTTTTTTTGGTAATGTGCTGGAAAAGCTTGAAAGCTTGAGCTTTTTTTTACATGCATATCTGATTAAATGAGGTTTTTATAATGAGTTTTTGATCCAATTTTCAAAACACTTTAAATGTGACCTGTTCATTTAAAAACTCCTCTTTAACAGGAAGAAACCTCCAACAGAACCAGGCTGAGGGAGGGGCGGGGCCATCTGCCACCACGAGGGGAGTGAAAGGGCAGGAGACACAACATCCACATGAAGATCTCCTGTTTACATGTACAGTGCTGAATATGTTGTAAAGCTAAAGTTTAGTCAGTAGGAGATAGATGATGTCTTTACATTATGTTTCTGCAAATCATTCTCTGTTAATCTGAATCTAGTCAAAACCTGCTGAAATGGGATTCATCAGTAGAATTCAAATAAAGGGTCAAACAGGAAATGAGCTTCCAGCAGCACAGATCTTGTTCTTTGCAAACAGATTCTGTATTTTCTGTCTACATGGTTCTGCCCACCTGCTGCGACGCAGACACACCATATCGTCGCTCTGTGGCAAAGTGCTCACAGTTACTCCTGATGCTGTGGTACGTTATCTCTCTACCCACCCAGCTCCTGGCCTCTGTAACAATGACGTCAGCTGGGCGGGGATTATGGGTGGAGTCCAGGCTGTTGTTGATTTGCCACTGGTCATTTCCCACCACAGCCCTCAGATTCTCCTCCCTCACAACCCCCCTCTGAGTTATGACAGTGATGCTGTTGAAACCTGCAAACACATGAAGGATGAACTGGGATCAGAAGTAAAGGCTTCATGATTTCATCTTTTAGAGTGAGCTATGAATCAGTTTCATGTGTGATGTCATTTAAGCTTCTGCTTCCAGACTGGGAGGAGTTAAGCTGTGGGGGGTGTTGTGACAGGTGTGTGCGGGACTTACTGGGCACGACCAAGTGAACCACAGAGCCATCACCAACGTACACAGCCCAGTGCCGATAGCTGCCACGGAAGATCTCTATCAAGTCCCCGCGCCGTGGCCTCCGACCACTCTGTGATTTACAGACAGAGAAAATGTTTGAAGCTGACTGTGCTCAGTGACTGCAGCACATTGATGAGAGACTTCCAATTAAACAAATCAATCAATCAAAGCACAGCAGTAGACACCAGAAGCAAATGGTTTTCTTACCATGTCAGTGGGTACTTCGTCCACAGACCTCGAGCTGCTTTGATGTTCAGAACCTGCAGGAAAAGATCATTTTATAAACCAAATCCATCCACAGACAGTATCAACCTAATAACACACACGGTGTTAACACGATCAATCTTCTCTGAGTATTTACAGTCAGTGATGATGTTTGGGGTTACTGCCCTCACATGTGGGTGAAATCACTGAGACATAATATGTCAGCACTGACCTGGCTGAAGGTTAATCGAGCATCCTTAAAAATGATGATGATAATGAAACAGCAGTTTACATGTGGCATCTTTCTTCAGAGCTTCTGTTAAAACTGAATCAAACAGGTGTTTCTGGTATTTAGCTTTATCACTGATATGTGGACATCAAAGATCAGTGTTAGCAGAATATTTTAACTCAAAATTTAACATTTTGAATTTGTAGTGCACTTTACATGCAGTATAAAAGATGGATGTAGCCACTGATGTCACTCGTTGGCTCTTGTTTTGAAGCCTGGAGTGATTTTACTGTATGATCTGTGTGTTTCATAACCAGGTATGAAGAACATGGATCTGACTGTGAACCTGACTTTTGATGGCTTGTAGTCAAACAACAGCTACCTGGTTTTTTATCCATTACAATCCTCTAAAAATTATTATAATTTACAAAAACCTCATAAACCCGTCACAAATGTGTTTCTTGAAGTCAACATCAAAGGAGCTGAGGCCTTTTTCTCCTACACTTTAATGCAACTGTAAGTCTTAACACAACGTGATGTGTCACGATATTTCTACAGTTGCTTCACTTTTTACACAGAAAGCTAAAATCAGCCTTTCATGGCTGTTATAAATATTTAACATCCTTTATTAAAAAACATAATTAAACCCTCATAGATGAAGAAGACATTGGCATCTCTTATTTTGAAAATCTGCTTCATGTTTTAGCAATCTGCCATTTGACTGGACAGTTTGACTCTGTTTGTAATCAGACTGTGACTGACCAATAAGAATCAGTCATGGGTCAGAGCTCCTCCCCTCTGCACCCAGCAGAGTTTCAGGGTTAACGTGTGAAGGACTCACGAGATGTTGATGTCGATGTTGATGCTGTGCTTCCCATCACCAACTGAACTTGAGCAACGTGAACTACAGATGAGAGGAGCTGCTGGGCTTTCTGGAAGAATTTAAATTCAGTTACACAAACACAAACTTTATTAATGACTCTGTTTATCTTCACAGCAGGATTTTTATGACCAATGAAGCTGAATTTACATTTCAGGAAAGGTTAAACTGTGAATGTCCACAGACTTATATAAGAAACCTCTGCAATGTTAAATTAGGTGAGTCAGTAAATTATGTGACGTCAACAGTGACATAAGATAAGAAATGACATCTTTAGAGTGCTTTTTACTTTAAACACCAATGAAGGTAAAGATCAAAGCTGACGGGTTAAAATAAACCAGAATAAATTATTTAAATAAAACTAAACTCATCTTTAGAGAAATATCCTTAGTTTATCAAAGGAGCTTGCAAAGAAAAGCGTCTGGACTTCTTTAAGTTACTTGAAGACGTTTCACCTCTCATCCAAGAAGCTTCTTCAGTTCTAAGGTCAAATGGTGGAGAGTCCCAGATATAAACCTAGTGGGAGTTACCCCCACAGAGGGACAAAAGGACCCCTGATGATCCTCTAATCGCCTGAGACAAGGTGTGAAACTGGGTGTGGGTCCCAATCAGCCAGGGTTTCGGTTGAGTTCATTGTGAAACCTGGCCCAACCTTATAAGGTGGGGCCAGGTTTCACAATGACCTGGATGACTGAGAACCTTCACAGAAATATCCTTAGTTTGGTTATATGCAGTGTATAAACCGAGAAGACCTGCATGTCTTTACTGTCTCGGGTTACTTTCAGTTTTGTGTGACCCAGCGTGAACTGTGTCTGTTTCCTCCGTGGTTATGAAACGTGTCTTAAAAACACGCAGCTGCTGTACGAAGGTCACGTTCTGCGCATGTCAGGAAATGTTGGGGAATTTTAGCAGCATGGAGGCCGTTGGCTTAATTCACAGTATAATTTAGCATGCCAGGCCAAAGGCACATGGTAAAAGTATTAATCAATATGATCTAATATGGATAAGTAAAATCAGCCTTTCTTTAACAGGACTGAGCTCTCAACCAATCACAGACACGGGGACTGCAGACAAACTCCATCTCTGATGAAAAGGATTATTGTTGAGGTCACAGGAATCAAACCTGCACCCTTGTTTTGGTGGCAGCTGCTCTTTGGCTGAGTCGGAGACACCCTGTAGTGTGTTTGACACCAGCGGCAGTGTTCGTGTCAAACACCTCTGAGCTCTTTCAGGATCACTGACCAGATACCACACAGTTTAATAAAGAACAAATCTGATGGTTGCTCCAGGTGACAGTTAGATGACAAAGAAGGAAGCTGTCACATTATTTTCTCTTTCTTTATTGGAGCTTCGCTCCTGTGGTTGGCGGTTATGATGTCGGCGCTGCTGTGTTTGCTGCTCAGCACCGGGTCAGTAAAGAGGGCCCGTCTCACTGTTCCTCCGCGCGCACACGTTACCGGCCACTCGTTTACGGAACATGAACACGCCTACGTCATTCTCGCGCTCCAGGTTTAAATCCTGTCTCACTGAGCGTTTCATGATAAACAAACATAAAAGTCTGCAGAGCCTCTGTTTTATGAGCTTCTTCGTTTTTCCATAGCTGAGATTTTTTTTTTATTTCTTTAATTTTTTTGTTTGATTTTCTTCTCACTGACAAAAATATTAACAATAAAACTTTCACTCACGCAAACCTCACCTCGGTGCAAGATACAAACATTCAAACTCGAGTTTGATTTTGGAAATATCTTATATTTCTATACGCCGGTCAGACCTCGTGCAGCTGATCTAATGATTAATGATTATTGTCAATTTGAAGTCAATCACGTGCCCGCTTTAAATGATAATAATAGGAACTGAAAAAAACAATAAAGAGTAAAGTTTAGTTCACTGACCTGTTGACGCTGCGGTTGAAACCGAGAGTCAGAGTAACGTTTCGAGGAGAGGAGGATGAGGCAGTACCGGAAGTCTGTAGGAAAGCGCGCGTGTCCGTGTAAAGAGCAATAACTGTGCCACGCTATAATATGTAAAACAGACCTACACAAACACAAAACATTCATCCATGCAAATGTTTCAGTGTCTCTTTTGTCTCTTTTTCTGTCACTCGGGATTTTGTTTCTAGTTTAATCTGCAAAAAAACGGTGAAACATTCGAGCTGAAACGCCGCAGGCTCCGTGTCTCCATCCAAGTGATGTCACGCATTTCACCAGTCACTGTGTCCGTGGACTTGGAGGCAGCTCGTGCTCCAGGTTCAAACACCTTCATTAAAAATCTTGTGTTTAAGGCTTTGAAACATTTAAAAGACCAAAATGTTTAAGACAAATAAATATTTCATATCTGAGGCGCATGTATGAAACACGCTGTTGTACTCAGAGTTAAATCCCTCAGCTTTCAGGTTTGATCATTTTTAATGTACAAAAGTCAAACTCAGACTGTTACTGGAGGGGGTTTCTGTGGAGCAGATCCACAGACTGACTGTGAAACTCGAAGTGAAACTCAGCTTTTATTACTTTTCTTTCTAACGTTAAAGAATCATTTACACAAACTGGAGGAGACAACAGAAACAGCAGGCAGGTGTGGGAACAGCTGTGTCCACATGGTTTATGTCCATGCAGACGGTTAAAGACACCGAGACACTTCCTCTTCTTCACTTCACCCACTCACTGCATCTGTGTTTTTGCCCCTGAGGTGTGTCTCTGACGTCTTGTGTGCAGCACGTTTTGCTCTCCTGCATCCATGTTTCTAAGAGTCACGTCTCTATATAACACATCTATGATCGAATGATAGATCTGAGCAGTTTCCTCTGAACAACACATCTGCTGAAATCTGACGAGATGATGCTGAACATGCAGAAATCTCATGCGGCTTCATTGTGGAGTTGGACAAGTGCAGTCATGTCACCATCTCAGCTTTTAACCCTTTAAATCTAGTTAATGTGTTTATTTTACACAGTTTGAGACCTCAGTGTTCCCCACTAACAAAATGGAGCATGAAACTACGTGAAACACAGATAAGATTAGATTTCTTTGCACTTCCCATTCTCAGCTGTAGCAGGAGACTCATCCCTGTGCATCAGTGCCAGTATTTCTGTTGTTGGTATAAGTGATTGACCATCTTGCCAAGACCTTATTGGCTGTGGTCCAAAGAGAACACCAAAATCTTCAATCTTCAAAACACAAAGGCCCAAACTTTATTTATTCATGTCACCCTCAAAGACAGCACATACTATCGATGCACCATCGAGAGTATTCAGTCTGTCTGTGGTTCTGCCAGCCATCCAGGACCTCTGCAGGTAGACAGGCCTGAAGATCCTCTCTGGTTCCACCCACCACAGCCGTACACTTCACAGAAGCATCAACAGCAGCAGATGGAGGAAGAATTTCTAGCCACAAGCCATCACTGAGCTGCTGAAATATTGGACTGTTTACACCAGGGGTGGGCAGCTCCAGGCCTCGAGGGCCTGCAGCTTTTAGAGCTCACCTTGGATCAACACAAATGAATCAAATGATGAGTTCATTACCAGGCCTCTGGAGAACTTCAAGACATGTTGAGGAGTCATTTAGCCGTTTAAATCAGCTGTGTTGGATCAAGGATCATCTAAAACCTGCAGGACACCGGCCCTCAAGGCCTGGAGTTCCACACCCCTGGTTTACACAATCACTGTACACACTGTATGTATGCACCACTACCTCTGCACTACAGCTGCTACAGTATTTTTTAGGAATCTGTATTTATTTATTCTTATTCTTTATTCATATATGTTATTTTTTTTTTATCTAAGTCTTACTTATGTGCAGTTTTCTGTGTGCAATATTGAGGAGGCTGAGTATTTCATTGCTGGCAGTGATGTGCCATTGTTGCCTGTTTATGACAAACAACAACTTGAAACTTGATCTCTCAGATAATGGAGAGGATGTAGTGACTCATCTGTGAAATAACATTTGTGCAAAATCAAATAACACTTAGGTGCATTTTTCTAAATGTTAAATAAAGAATAGAAAACACCTTCAGCTTCTGTGGCATATTAATTATCTTAGCATCAGGCTGTCTGCCCTCTGCTGCTGAACATGATCAAATATATTAGCATACACACAGGTGGGAGCAGTGGCGGTCCTAGCCTGTTTGGTTTGGTGCCCCGGGCGAACACACACACACACACACACCCCATATTAAGGATTGTACATTAACATAAAACTGTTGTCGGAACCACACTGAATTTCACCAGAGAAACATAGACACACACACACACACATATGAAGAGAGAGAGAGTATGCATACTATGCAAACAGCTACCAGACAGCCATCATCATTCGTCACACAATGAGAACAGGACAAATCAACAACTGACAATTAATATTAGAATCTGTAACATAATGTATTGTTTGGAGTTTAGTCTGTTACTGTTGCAATTTTTACCATTTCTTCTTGGAGCAACTGTAACCCACAGAGTTTCCTTTAATTAATAAAGTATTCTGATTCTGATTGTTTCAGGATGAGCTGCCATTATCCAATCACACATCTGCTTACCTGCATCTTTTGTTTCTCCTCTTCTTTTCTATTTTTTCTAAACTGAGCACCTGATGGCTTTGAACTTTTCTTGTCCATCTTTTAATTTTGCACTCCAGTATGAACACAAATCCCCCAACCCGAGGATCACCACAACATAATCTAACAGACCTACATCTTAGTTCACAGATTCACTTTGTCTAAGGTGCATTTCTGAGATTTCACACAACCCAGGATTCAAATCATGAATACATGATGGGCTTGGATTTACATCATTATGGATGAAATGTGCTCTATTTGGAAGCAGCAGGCCCCCTTTCGACAGGTTGTGTGATACTTTAAATCATCAAACTGTAAATTATAAATTGTTATTGATCCTTTACCCCGAGTCCTAAAGTGTAGATTTATTTTCTTACTCTTCTTATATTTATTGTTTGTTTACTTGCACTGCTGTAACTGGAGCCTCGTCTCTATATGCTGGACTGTCTGTAGCGGAGATGACAATAAAGTTTACTTTGACTTCAGCAGCGCGCACGCTCACTGAGGGCTCTCGCGCTCACTTTTCGTGTGTAGAATTTTGAAAAAACATTGGTGCAGATTATAAGTTTGTATCATGATGTCTGGTGTTTTTGTGTTTGTTGGTTTGTTTTTATTTTGTTTTATTTTGTGAGTTGGTTATTAGATGCTGCTCCCCGCCGCCCCGCCCCCTCCTCTCTGCGCCGCAAGCAGCAGGTGCACCTCGCAAAAGGAGGGCGCCCCAATGGGCGATAGAAAACCCATCGGTGCCTGTGACATTCCCAATATGCGCTGGCTGATGTCGGGCAGCATGAGTACGAGCAAAAATAGTTCAACAAGTTCAAGTTTTTATTTTTACAGGTAACAATGGCATATTACTACCAGCAGTTAAATTCTTAGGCTCAGAGACCCTCAATATTGCACACGAGTAACACATACTGAATTGACTGGTATGAGTGTGGATGCTTCTGTGCCGCATCACGAGTGTGTGGCTGTGGTCACTGAGGATCCTCAGGCAAACAAAATTAAAGGTGTCTGTGAAGAAAGCTGCCAGTTTGAGAGCAGGACTGGGATGTTGTCTGGTCTGTGTGTTTCTGTGTGTGTTACTGTAAGTGATTAAAAGTGAACAAAGTGTCGGCAGTAAAAAAAGAGTGTAGAGTAGTTTATGTTTCTGCTGTGGAAATGGTCTGGAGTTAAAAAGCAGAGTGGCTTTGGGGACAAAGGTGGTGCTCCTCCTCTCAGTCCTGCAGGCGCCGCCCAGAGGGGAGCCATTGAAATGCAGGGTGAACAATGTGAGAGGGGTCACCACCATCTCTTTGGTTTTGCTCACGTTCAGTTCAAGTGTGGAGCTGTCACACCACTCTACAAACTCCTGCAGAGCGGCCCGTGGTGCTGTGAGGGCCTGACAGCAGTGACAGAACTGTGTCGTCAGCATATTTCACCAGGTGACAGTTGGGCTTTTTAACCCATGGCTTCTGCTTAGAGTGAGTCTGTACAGTAACCCGTGGTATGATGTCATGAGTGTATTCACTGATGCATTCTGCGCTCTATTGTTGGCAACAGCTTGAAAAAACTTACCACTCAGCAGTGCGGAAGCAGTGACGCAAGACGATGGCGGTCCAGCATTGAACCGAGCACATGATTGGCTGCTCACGCCTCAGCTTCTGCTTATAAGCTGGTAGCAGGACGACCAAGGAGAGATCTGATTTGCTGAAGGCTGGTTGGGGGCGGGCACATGTGAACGAGGTACTTTTGTTCTCACAGGAACACCAGCCAAGCCGGGAACTGAGGAATTCAGCCATTTCTCCGTATAGTATCCTGATGGAAAGTCATCCTGGTCAGCAGTTCATCCAGCTTGTTTTCCAAAGTTAGGATGTTAGCTAGAACAATGGTGGGAAGTGAGGAATGGTGCTGTCTGTTCATCAGCTGGACCATGACCCCGGCTCCTTTCCTCCGGCGTAGTTTCTGCTCAGGGGCATTTGTGTGGTCGAAGGTGACCTGTGCCATTTAAACAGCACGTTTCCAACAGCTCATGCTGCACAAAGTACTTTACACACTAAAATGCAACTAAAATAAGTAAAATGCGCAACAATCATGCAATACAATTTAAAAGAGAAATAATAATACAATAAGAAAATAAAAAACAACAACGACTAATCTGTTTAAACAAAAAGTGTTCGGGTCAATGTGTGCTAAGAGACAGTCCAGAAAAATGTGTCCAGTGTTTGTGCAGATTGAATATTTAGACTCAGACTGTTGCAGAATCTGCAAGTGTTAAAAACACGAGGAAAACTCGTGAAATTGAGTATGATGGCGATCATGGCAGCCATCCTCATCGGAGCCATCTGATAATCTAAAACACTGCATTAACCATGAAAAAAACCCCACTGCCATCTTTACACACAGCCCCCTGTTTTACTCCCCAATTATGCAAAT